AGACATGTTAGCCATTCTTTTAAGGAATGTTTTTTCGAGGACTGGGAGTACAAGATTGCTTTGCCCTAAACTAACCCAATTTTTCTCCTCTCCCTTCAAAAGTAACCTAAGCAACTGTTCTCCTCATGACCCACTCTGCAGAAGTGTTTTCCATGTAAGAGCTACCAGGAGACTAATAATACACTAATAATCGATTGCTCAGCTGCAGGACCTCCAAAATTAGTGATTTTGAAAGTCAACCAAAAGCAAGTAACTAAAGGCAAGTGAAGCTAGGTTTATTTAGGTTTTCCCTCAGTTTCAGTATTGGGGACACTACAATGAACAACCAGATAAAGTCTCTGCCCTTCACATGAGACATTCACCTCAGAGCTGGGTGTGTAAGTTATTACCTTGTGTAGAACTGAGCAAGAAGTAAATTTTAGGGGGCAGACGGGACGGAGTGGGAAGTACTGAGAAACTAGCACAGATATATGTTGCCGAAGTCAATTATTTTTTGGCATTGGTATACTCATTTGTTGTTTTTTTTATTGAACTAAAATAAACATAACATAAAATTCACCATTTGAACCTTTTTGAGTATAAAATTCAGTAACACTGTGTTCATTCACACTGTTGCGTAACCATCACCACTCTGTCTCTGGAACATTTTCATCATCCCAAACTAAAGCACTGTACCAATTAAAAAATAACTCCCCGTGTTTCCTCCCCTAGCCCTTGGTAACCACTATTCTCCTTTTTTTCCTCTATGATTTGACTGTCCTAGGTACCTAATTGTATTGGTTAGAATTTTCCAGAGAATCAGAACCAATAGAAGATCCACTAATAGGTAGAACTGGCCCACCAATAATGAAAGCTGAGAAGTTGCATGACCTGCCATCAGCAAGCTGGAGGCCTATGAAGGCCAGTGGCATTTTCCAGTCCAAGCTGAAAGACCTGGAAATTGAGACAAACTGACAGAATTCTTCCTTCTTCCACCTTTTTGTTCTTTTATTCACGCACTCACTGGATTCCATGATGCCAACTCACACTGGGGAGGGTATCTGCTTTACTCAGTCCACTGGCTCAAATACTAATCTCATCCAGAAACAATCTCACAGACACCCAGAAATATTTTTTAACCAAATGTTTGGGCATCCTGTGGCATGGTCAAGTTGACACATAACATTAATCATCATGACTCAGCTGGGAACCAACCAAGAGGAGGTTAAAATGATCAGAAACTGAAAGAAAAGCACCACTAGAATCAGGTCTGTTCTACATGTTTGCAGCAGATTTAGAGACCCAGGGCTTACACACAGCCCAGAGTTAAAGCAGGGCAGCTACAGTTCATACTACTGCACAGATGCAGGCCATCCTCAGCCTCCTGAGAACCTAGCTGCCTTACCCTGATGGTCAAAGCTAACCAATGAGCTACCTACAAGTGAGCACAGACACTGACCAGTGAGGGCTGGGCACTCCCTACTCCCTTATTTACATGAGATAACCTAGTTGGGAACTGCTGGCAAGGAATTTTTCCTACATAAAGTACCCCTCTCCTTTGCTTGGGGAGCCACTACCTAATTTGCTCTTGGTCAGAGCTGTGACTCCCATCTAGCTTAAACAGATGTCCTAATAAAGAAGGCTTGGGGTGGCTCAAATGGTAGAGAGCACCTGGATAGCAAGTGTGAAGCCTTGAGTGCCACAAAAAGAAAAAGGAAGGAAGGAAGAAAATTTTGCTTGATTGCCTGTATTTCTCTGGGTCCATGTCATGAGTGAGCTATGTTAGAAACACAGACAGACACACTGTGTTTTTCCACAAAGTCAGACTTTTTTGAATAACAATAAATCCGCAAGCTACATCAATTTCACTGGCTTTAATTTGCCAAGTACAACTGAGTTCACTCGGTAGCTATGAGCCATTAGCAACACAGGTTCTTTTATTCCAATTTCTTTCTTTTTTTTTTGGTGGTACTGGGATTTGAACTCAGGGCCTCATGCTTTCTAGACAGGCACTCTACAGCTTGCTCCACTCCTCTGGCATGTTTTTGTGTTGGGTACTTTTTGAGATTGGGTCTCTTGAACTATTTGCTCAGGCTTGCTTCGTTCTGTGATCCTTCTGATCTCTGCCTCCCTAATAGTTAGGATTACAGGCATGAGCCAATCTTAAATTACTAATTTTAAATCAGATTACACATTATACTTCACACAATAACAATATATAGGTTATAGAATGACTAAGAAAGCAATAAAGAGGCTGCAGGGTTCAGGGGGCTGTACTGAAGGCCCAGGCAGACAGCTGATATAGATGCAAGGGAAAGTGTCTGTAGGGGACTAGATAAGATTAACCAAATGCAAGCACAAAGCTGTCAAGGCAGAGTTGCCAAATGTAGAGCTGGGTGATCGGCCATTTTCAGTGTCAGTTTGATGTGAGAAATATGTCATGGGCAGAAGAAACTGGCTAAAGCTGGAGGCCAAGGACAGAGGCTGAGGTCCTTTGCTTTGGCAATTTTCCTGGACAAGGGTCATCATGAGTGTCTGGGTGGTAGGTCAGTGTGCCTGCCATGTCTGTCTTGGGGTATTCTTTCTTTTATACTCTCAGGTGAAAGGGTTATATTGTGGTGTGATTGATACGTTTATGTGTCTGGCGTTTCTAATATGGTCTGATATGTTTGCAGGTGTAATTGCTTATTGGCATGAGTAGATTACCAGCTCATGCCTCATGGCATGCTGGCAGATGGTAGTTGTTTACTTGTATAGACAGATGCAGAGCCATTCTGGGTTGGCACTTATCTAATTGACTTTGACTTGTATTTCCGTAATGATTATGATATTGGATATCTTTTTCTGTGTTTATTAGTCATTTTAATATCTTCTTTGGAAAAATGTCTATTCAAGCCTTTGGGATTGTTTGGGTTTTGGCTGTTGAGTTTTAAAAGTGCTTTATAAATTCTGGGTGTGAATCCCTTATCAACTATATGATTTGCAAAAGTCTTCTCCCATTATGGGCTGCCTTGTCACTCAGTTGATAGTGCCATTTGATGCACAAAAGTTTTAATTTTGACCTGGCACCAGTGGCTCATGCCTGTAATCCTAGCTACTCAGGAGGCAGAGATCAGGAGGATTACAGTTGGAGGCCAGCCCAGGCAAATAGTTCACAAGACCCTATGTCAAAAAAAACCCTTCACAAAAACAGGGCTGGTATAGTGGCTCAAGGTGAAGGCTCTTGAGTTCAAACCCCAGCACTGCAAAAAAAAAAAAAAAAAAGGCATAATAACAGCGGGCATGTCAGTTACAACTGTGCCACCCGCCCAACGCCACTGAGATTATTCACAGATACACAGTCTTAGATTCCCCTTCAAGAGCACCAAGAGCACTCCTAGTAGGGAAGCTGTAACTAAACTGCGATATGACTCCTCCTCCAGCCTTTCTAACCTTAGTAGACAAGCCTTCCTATTCTCTCTCCAGTTCTCCACTCATCTGTCTCTCTCTCTCTCAACTCCATATTCTTCTCCTACCTCAGCCTCTCAAGTGCTGAAATTACAGGCATGCCCAGACTTTTCATCTTTCTAATACAGCGTTTTTCAAGCTTTTCTATTTGCAACCCACAGTGATGGGGTCTTGTCACGTTGCCCGGGCTGGTCTGGAACTGGTGGACCCAAGTGATCCTCCTACCTTCTAAGTAGCTGTAACTATGAGCACCACCACACCCAGAAAATTTATTTTACATTGCAATCTGGTTGACATATATAATAAACAAAAGTCTTGCAAAAAGTTTAGTACTTAGCTCTGCTGCTTTATACCATGTTTTCTGATCTTTTCTAATTCTTCATTTTAAGAAGTTGGTATCCAATTGGGCATGGTGGTGAGTGCCTGTGATTCTAGCTCTTGGGAGGCTGAGGCAAGAAGATTGCCTTTAATTTAAAAAAAGAAGAAGGAGGAGGAGGAGAAAGGAGGGAAGGAGTGAAGGAGGGAGGGAGGAAAGAGATAAGAAAGAAAGAACAGAAAAGAAAAAAGAAAAGAAACATTGGTACCCACTAAACTGATATTATGAACTATTACTGGGACACACATGCAGATTGGAAAACGCTGCTCTAATCATTGAATTTCTTTGCCTCAGGGCCATTGCACATCCTGTTCCCTCTGTATGGAAGGACATTTTTTGGGTTTTTGTTGTTGTTGTTGTTCTTTTTCCTCTTCATCTGGATGGATTTTTCTTTTCTTTCTTTTTCTTTTTTTTTGTGGGACTGGGTTTTGAACTCAGGGCTTCTCGCTTACAAAGCAGGCACTCGACCACTCGAGCCACATCTCCAGCCCATTTTGTGTGGTTATTTTGGAGATGGGGTCTCAGGAACTCCGCACACACACCTCCAGCCGCGATCCTCCCCAGTAGCTAGGATTACAAGCGTGCAGCAGCACGGCAGCTTGATGACTCATTCTGCAAGCGTGCGTCAAGGGACGCTTCTCTCCCTGGAGCTGACTGCGTGAAGGGCATGTCAAACCACGTAAAGTATGCAAAGATCTCAAAACAGTGAGTGGCAAATAGGATCACTACTGCTTCTTATCTCGAAGTTAGAAATCATACAACTATTTGTGAGACTTTGATTTTTGTCCATCTTTATGTTCTTTGCGTCTCACTTTGTCCGGCATGTAACAGGCGTTCAGAAAACTACCGAATGGGTAAAAATTGGAAGGAAGCCGGTGGCTCACGGGTGTAATCCTAGCGACTCAGGAGGCAGATATCAGGACGATCGCCGTTCGAAGTCAGCCCAGGCAAATGGTTCGCGAGCCCCTATCTCGAAAAAACCCTTCACAAAAAAAAAGGGCTGGTGGAGTGGCTCAAGGTGTAGGCCCTGAGTTCAGCCCCAGTACGGCAAAAAAAAAAAAAAAAAAAAAAAAAAGAAAAGAAAAAAAAAGGGAAGGAATAAAAACCATCAGAGACTGAGAAAGGAGCCCGCTCAGGACGTGATGACGTCATTCTCCGGCCTGGGATAGCCACGCCCACCTGACAGCCGCCGGCGGGGCCCAGCTGGGCGGCCGCGGAGGATACTGGGCCAAGATGGCGGCTGCGAGGAGAGCGCTGCCGCGGCGACTGGTGGGCTTGGCGTCCCTCCGGGCTGTAAGTGCCGCGGGGCGCGGCCGCCCTACAGGCCCCGTGACGGTCGGGGTCGGGGTCGGGGTCTTGCCCCGTGGAGGTTGCTGCCTGACAGGCCAAGCCGGACAGTTCTTCTGGGGGTTCCGCAGTCTCGGTCTCCGTCTCACTCAAATCCCTTGAGGGCTGTGGGGAAACTGAGGCTGGGAGCGGTGAAGCGACCCGTTGTCGTAATGGAAACCTGGGACGCCACGTTGGGCGTCCTGCTGTCCTGTGTTCCAAGGCCCTTCCCGCTGGCCCTGGCGCCTTCCTTCCCCTGACAGCTTCAGGAGTGTTGGCCCGTGAACGGCACGGACCCCTCCAGTCCCGCGAGGGAGGGGAAGGTCACGCCCTGCCTCGCCTCGCCTCGCCTTCCAGCCCTTGTGGCTTCTGGGGACGTTAGGGAGAGCTCGCATTTACTTTGGGTCTGTTCCGTCCTGGTCCTTGGCCCTCTCTCCGGGCTCAGTGAGTGGAGAAAAGTGAGGGAGAGGTCACGGCAGAGAGGGTGGAGGCCCTTGTGTTTGGTTAAAGCTTAAAACTATGGTTTCCCATTGGCTCTGCCGCTTTCCAGGCTGAAGGACACGGTTACTCTCATCTGTCAAATGGACCACATTACTCAGGGTGGTTTTGGAGATTGGGAAAACGTGGTAGCATTTGGAATTCTCCAGGCTCTTAGTACATGATGAATAAGTGGTGAGGTTTTTGGGGTTTGGGTTTTGTTTTTTTTTTCTGGCGGTGCAAGGGATCAACCAGGGCCTCAAGGCTCTCTACCACCCACCCAGAGGTGGTATTTTTGCCTTAGGAGTTGGAAAAATTATACTCCCCTGGCAGTAGGTCCCTTTCAGAAAACCAAGTCAATATGTTTAGGTCATCCACCTCCACCAGTTGTTCATGTGTAAAATGAAGATGGTAACTTCAGCTTGGGAAGTTAAGGAAATTACATGAGATGGTGGGCTTTGAGGGGAAAAAAAAACTCCAAAATGCTGGTGTAATGAAATGATCCTCCCTGGAGTGACTAGCATAGGTTTCCTGTTAGAACCTGACCTAGGTTCAAGTCCAAGCTCCGCCGCTCTCTAGCTGTGTGATTTGGGGTAATCTTTCTGAGCCCAGGTTTTCCTGCTGGAGTTGGAATTATGCCTGCCATGAGATGCTGGTGGCTGTAGTTTGAACTGGGCGTGAGGGTTAGCTCTTGATGCTCATGCAGATAGGCCGTAAGTCAGAATGCTACGGCATGGAGCTTGTATGGTTAAGGGACCACCTGCGCACAGACTTTACAAAGGGAAGGAACTTGGTGTTTAACCAGAAGAGAAGACTGTGGCCAAGGGTGGTAGAGAGGTAGCCATGGCCTTGGGGTTAGGGAATGTGCTCTAGAGCCACACTCTTAGCTTCTGATGTTGCTCCGTGACTAGTGAGCTGTAGGACCTTTGGAAAATTATTTAGTTTCTTTTAGGCCTCAGACTTCCCCTGGCATAGTGGAGATTATGCTAGCCCTTACCTAATGACGTGACTACAGAGGATGACGGTGGTTAGTAGTGGCAAATGTTTAACTTTAAAAAATGTGACTTGTTACCTAAAGAGCTGCCATGGGGAAGGAAGCAGACTTGCGTTAAACCTGTGCTCTAAAAGAAACTTGGAAGCAGGTTTTACATCCTTTAAATAACGTTGAAGTTATTTATTGTCTCTCGGCCACTGGAATAACGTTAGGATAATACACAGGCAGAATGGGAACATCTCTGTTGGAGGAAGCTTCAAGTTTCAGGGACCTTTCAGCTTAGCTGTTGACTTCATGCAATCCAGTGCCTTGGCACCTCAGTCTGTGAGGTGGCTAAAACCAAGGCCACAGCAGGTGAATGGTCAAGTCCCAAACGCTTCATAGCAGTGACTGTTTCCTTCTGTATGGGTGTCTGGGGTTTGGGATCCTAGGCAGATTATACGGTGTGTCTCTTCCCTTGCCCCACTGCAGGATGTTTATGTAGATTCAATCTGGTGAAATGAAGTAATCTGAAGAGTTGTATTAAGAAGGATAGAGGAAAGAGGAAAAGAAGCCCATGTTACTTGGTGTGGAGGAGGGGCAGATTTAGGGCAGACTTTATGTAGAGGAGAATCAGGTTTTAAAGATTTAATGCTGCTTGGTAAGCAGGTGCTCTACCACTTGAGCCAAATACCTCAGCGTTAATGCTGCTTGGGATATCATCTCAGACCCACTCTCCTCTGTTACCAGTTTAGGAGTGTAACAGAAGAAAGCCTTCCTCCATATCCTCTACCACTGCTGCGAAGTCTAGGGGTAACTGCTCCCCACACTCAGTAATTGCCTTTCCCTGGGAAGGCTATGCCCTTCATGCATTTGTTGTTCTGCTAACTTTAATGAGTGCCTACTCTGTACCAGGCACAGTGCCAAACAGTTGGGATGAAGTGGGTGTGGAAACAGCTCCCCCATGGAGCTTTACTGGAGGAAAACCAAGTAGGCATATTTGTAGTGCTCTGAAAGGAATAATTATAGTCATGAAATAGGAAATATTGGAGGTGAGGGAATTGGCTGATTTGTAGAGACTGGTCAGAGTCTGTGACTAAAGTATGAGAGGGAAATGTGAGAAGAACCTTCCTGGCAAAGGGCAGCCCATCTGGGGAAAGAAGGCCGGTGGGACTGGAGCTTAGTGTACTGTTGGGCAGAGGGTGGGGAGAGTAGGGCAGTAGGACTGAGTGATGAGTTCTGCCATGTCACAGGTCCAAATCATACAGAGCCTATAGGCTATGGAGAATAGGGGAAGGGGATGTTGACTTAAGAAACAGGGTGCATGCAGTGCCTCTTACAGAATGAGTAAAACGTAAAATATTTATGCAATCCGAAGAAAAAACAGAGTATGTTTTTTGTTTGTTTGGTTTGTTTTTTTGTTTTTTTGTTTTTTGTTTTTTTTTTTGGTAGCACTAGGGATTGAATTTGGGGGTCTACTTAAGCCACACTCCCAGTTCTTTTTTAATTTTTTTTTTTAATTTTTGGTACTGGGATTTTTTCTCAGGGTCTGCACCTTGAGCCACTCCACCAGCCCCCCTTTTTGTGATGGGTTTTTTTCAAGATAGGATCTTGCATACTATTTGCCCGGCTGGCTTCGAACTGCAATCCTCCTGATCTCCGTCTCCTGAGTAGCTAGGTTTACAGGCATGAGCCATGGATGCCTGGGTTTTTAGCACTAACTTTGCTGGCATAAAACTCATGAACCTCCTGCCAAGGCCTCTTTCACGAGATAGAAAGGATGCAATCAGAATCAGACAGGCTTTAGAAGGAATTACAGAGTCTGGGTACTGTGGACTTGGAGAGAACCATTGGCTGGGCAGTTGGAGATGGGTCTGGACTTCAGGAGAGGCCCATCCTGGACGTTCGTGTCCCAAAGTCAATATGTTCTTTGATCTTAATGCTAAAAGAGAGCACATGTGAATCAAAGAGTGAAAAACACTGCTTCTTGTCTCAGTATTAGTGAAGAAGGACCAGTTGTTTCAGAGCAGTGCCAGTGGTCAGTCATGACAGTCTCCTTTCACTTTTGTTCAAATCCTCCCTTTTAAATCACAGGTCAGCACCTCATCTATGGGCACCTTCCCAAAGCAGGTGAAGATTGTGGAAGTTGGTCCCCGAGATGGTCTACAAAATGAGAAGGTAAAGATGGAAACCAACCAGAAAAAAGATGTTTTAAGCATCTGCTTTGAGTATTCCATGTGGTAGGAAAATTGGGTCAGATACTTTAAGGGCTTTTGATAAAATGGAATATTATGAAGCTGTTAATATAAGAGTATGGTAAGTGACTCAAGGTAGTAAAATAGTACATACATTCAATTTTACACTTTTGTATAAGCAACAAAAAAGGTTTTACATGTGTGGGAGCATTTACCTAGAAAAGAATGGAAACCAGTGCTATCCCATAGAGCTTCCTGTGTCTGAACCTAAATACTCTAGCCCATCAGTACGATAGTGACACATGTAACTTTTGAGCACTTGGAATGCAGTTAATGAGGCAGAGAAACTGAATTTTTATTTGTCTATAATTTTAGTCAATTTAAATTTAAATACCACACATGGCTAGGGGCTAACATTGGACTGCCCAGATGTAGAAAGTTACTGAGTGTTAATTGTATTATGTCTGAGAGGCTGCAGTGGTAGTTTTCTTGCATTTTGGCATGTTTTTCTAAAATAATCACATGCTTATTATTTTTTCAATAGGAAAAGCTTTTTTTTTTTTTTCAAGCATAGCCAACCTAGCCTGGGTTGGAAACAATAGTCTGGAAGTCCCACAAGGCAGAATCCTGTCAGTTTTGATTCTGCTGTATGCTAGCACCTAGTTTAATGCCTGGGACATGGAGGACTTTAAAAGTTATTGGCAAGGTGAATTGAGTTAAAGCAGTAGGAAGGGTGGATGGGAGGGCCTGAGGGGAAGGACCTGGAATTCTTAGGATTTTTTAATGTAATCCCACAGGTACTAAAGTGCCATGGGAGGCTTTTGAGCAGGAGATTGAAACATTAGAGGCTGCAATTTAAGAGGACCTCATGTGTAGGATGAATTGGAGCAAGACCATGCCATATATACATGGGATAGTGATGGTAGATTTGGAATCTAGAATCCATAGAATCTGATGAGTGACTAGATATGGGGGAAAAAAAGAAAGAAGCTTTAGGCAGAACATGTGACTGAATAGGAGGATGTGCAACTTTGGGGACCCCATCCTGAATAAGTGTAACCTCTGCTCATTTAGACCGCTGCATGTTGCTCTCAATTTGTTTATGATAGTGTCATAAATTAACACACATTCAGTTAAGGAAGAGTCTACATGGCAGGAAAATACTGTTTCCATGTAGATGTGAACTTCTCAGGTAAGAAGCTATCTCTACCACAAGACCCTCTCTGTAGATCTTGAAGACAAGCAGGGATTGCATGTAAATTCCTGCTTGTGTTTTGGAGTTGAGACAGTGAAGTGCTGGCTGTAGCAAAAGCTTTGAACTAACAGGCAGTGTCGGCTGGGGCTGTTTTCAGTACCAGCATTGCTGACCTGTCTTCTGGTGTTTTTCTCTCCTCTGTAGAGTGTTGTACCTACTCCAGTGAAAATCAGGTTGATAGACATGCTTTCTGAAGCAGGACTCCCCGTTATAGAAGCCACCAGCTTTGTGTCTCCCAAATGGGTTCCACAGGTAAGCTGCAGCCTCAGGAGAGGATGGGAGTTTTGCATTTGCTCTTAAAGCTAGAAGTCTGAAGCTCTGGTTTCCAGGTCCCTGGCTTTGAGAGGTCTCAGGCCATCCCCTGCACTGTGGTGCTCCAAAGGGCATGACTTGGTAACCAGGGGCTGCGATTCAGTCTTGGCTTTGCCCTGACCTGCCCGTGGCCTTGCTAAGGCCTAGAAATAGCCTCTCAGGTTTCCTCTGGCCCTAAATGTCTAGAATCTCCATGCCTGTCTACAGTTTCTGCATTTGTAGAAGGGAGTAACCCATGACTCCTATGTCACAGAGACAGGCAGATGGGGAAGAAAGACTGTTACAAAGTGAATGCTAGGTAGTCAGAGAGAGTGGAGCCAGGGCCTGGCCCAGAGACAGGTAGCACTTAACATAAAGCTGGCCTTGTTGGTCATGTGGAGAAATGGGGGTGTCACCCAAACCCAGAGGCCTCCCAGCCCCTCATCAGTCAAGCAGATAGTGAAAAATGCTAGGAAACTCAGGCCTGCCGAAGACTTTCTCCCCAAGATCTGCAGAACAGGGCCTTAGTGGTGGAAAGTTTTCTGTCACCATTGAACTCTCTACCTGTTTTGGGGATGATTTGGCAATGTCACCCTTGGCTCCTAGATGGCTGACCACACCGAAGTCTTGAAGGGCATTCAGAAGTTTCCTGGCATCAACTACCCAGTCCTGACCCCAAATGTGAAAGGTTTTGACGCAGCGGTAAGAGGATAGCTTGTTGGTGGGGGCTCCTGGAATGAGATTGATGGCATCAGTCCATGTCTTTTGTACAGGTCTCAGTCCTGTATCCTGAGGTATCCCTCTCCAGTGGTAATAATCAATATCAGACCCTGGGACAGGCCTGGCCCTGTCACTTACTGCTCTGTGATCTTGTCTAGTTGCCTAACCTCTCTGAGGTTCTGCCTATAAAGTAGAACTAGTCACAGTAGTACCTGCTGTAGAGAGTATTTCATATCCTGGAATGCATACAGATGGCTCGCCAGTGGCTCCTGTTATTACCCACTTCCTTAGGGAAAACTAACCAAGCCCTCACAAGAGTCAAAAACAATTGGCTAACATTTGACAACTCTTAAAATTTTAAGGTGGAGATGTTGTTTCTGCACTTTGGCAAAAAGCTTCTTTCAGGGCTGGCAGAGTGGCTCAAGCAGTAAGAGCACCTGCCTTGCAAGTGTGAGGCCCTGAGTTCAAACCTCTGTGCTGCCAAAAAAAAAAAAGCTTCTTTCAAGAGTGACTTCTAGCCAGGTACCAGTGGCTCACGTCTGTAATCCTTGTTACTCAGGAGGATCGTGGTTCAAAGCCAGCCTGGGCAAATAGTTCTTGAGACCCTGTCTCCAAAATACTTAACACAAAAAGGGCTTGTGGACTGGCTCAAGGTGTAGGCCCTGAGTTCAAGCCCAGATATCACAAAAAAAAAAAAAAGTGACTTCTAGGGGGATGTGGCTCAAGTGATAGAGAACCTGCCTACCAAATATAAGGCCCTGAATTTAAACCCCAGTACTGCCCCCAAAAAAAGAGTGACTTCCAGCAATGTGTGGTGACTTATGCTTGTAATCCCATCACTTGGCAGACTGAGGCAAGAGGATCAAGAATTTGAGGCCAGCCTGCAGTACATAGTGAGACCCTTCCTCAGAAAAAACAAAAATAGTGACCTATGATCCATCAAAAATGAAAAATGATAAATAAAAATCATTACATAATGTTATAGAGTTATGTAATTTTCTCTTGATTCTGTTAATTTTGTTTCATGTATTTTAAACTACTGAAATTAGGTGCTGGTATATTTATGATTTTTAATACTTCCTGATGAATTGACACTGGTTAATAATGAAGTACTCCTCTTTTTGTTTTAGTATCTTCTTTCTCTGATAATTATACAGCCATTCTCACCTCCTGTGCTCAATATTTGCATGCTGTCTCATTTCATTCATCTGTTCCTAGGCCATCTGTATCTCTAAACAGCCTGTAAATGTTTGCATTTTTTCTTTTAAATCATTTTGATGACCTCTGCCTTTTAATTGGAGTGTTTAGTTAATAAACTTTTTTTTCTTTTTTTTTTTTTTTTACATTATGTAAGTAGTTCTTTTTTTTATTATTATTATTATTTATATGTGCATACAAGGCTTGGGTCATTTCTCCCCCCTGCTCCCACCCCCTCCCTAGTTAATAAACTTTTAATGTAAAAATTGAAAAAACCAAAACAGGTTCTTGGGGGGTTGAGATGACTATGGCAGTGATGATTTCCTTGGGGAATGGATGTCAGGGGTTTTTTAGGGTTTTGGTGTTTTCCCTACTTTTGTGCTAGGGATGGAACCTAGGGAACTGCCCTACCACTGAGCTGTACCATCAGCATTCTTAGGATTTTTGTTGTTTCTTTCTTTCTTTTTCAGTACTGGGGTTTGAACTCAGGGCCTACACCTTGAACCACTCCACCAGCCCTTTTTCATGATGGGTTTTTTTGAGATAGGGTCTCACGAACTATCTGCTTAGGCTGACTTCAAACCTTGATCCTCCCAATCTCTGCCTCCTGAGTAACTAGGATTACAGGTGTGAGCCACAGGCACCTGGCTTTTTTTTTTTTTTAAATTGAGATATAATTCACTGTATATGTGTCCTAGGGCTGCTTCGAAAAAGTGGTACAAAATGAATGACTTAAAACAACCAAACTTGATTTATTCTCTCACATTCTAGAGGCTAAAAGTCCAAAATCAACATATCAGCAGGACTGGTTCCTTCTGAGGCCTCAGAGAGTCTGCTCCATGCCCCTCTCCTAGTCTCTGTCTCTGGGAATAATGGCTATCCTTGGCACTGCATGGCTTGTAGCTGCATCACTCCAGTGTCTGTCTCCACCTTCACATGGCCTTCTCTTCTGGGTCTCCTTTTTTCACGCAGCCATCTTCTTGTAAGGACAGCAGTCGTATTGGACTAGGGACCCACCCTGCTCCAATACAGCCTCATCTAATTACATCTTCAATGACCCCATTTCCAAATAAGATCACATTTCTGAAGGACTGGGAGTTAGGGCAACATCATATTTTTTTCAGGGACTCAATTCAACCCATAACATTCACATATCATAAAATTTGCAGTAAACAAGATTTTGCCATTCTCCAAATTTCCTGAAAAGTGCTGAAGGAACTCTGAATATTGGCAGGTGGCTGCTGGAGCCAAGGAAGTGAGCATCTTTGGTGCTGCCTCAGAGCTCTTCACCAGGAAGAACATCAACTGCTCCATAGATGAGAGCTTCCAGCGCTTTGACGGAATCATGAAGAAAGCACAGGCTGCCGGCATTCTTGTGCGGGGGTGAGTCAGGCTACTCAGTACCTGAAGTCAGTGTCTTCTCAGTACCACTGTAGAGTGGGGCCAAGCTCTGGCTCTAGCATTCCTCCCATCTTCAAACTCCTACTCCCAGGTGGCACAGCCCAAGCCACACTCCTCAACACCTTTTCCCAGGTGTGGTCAGAAGCAGTGTAGCAAGGCTTTCCCCTGAAACCTAAATTTGGGTCAGTTCACCAAAGGTATCTAGCAGGATGGGACATTCATTGGGGTCTGTGGAGTCAGGTTAGTCCTGGCTTCTCACCAGCTCTTCACACATTCATGAAGAATCCCCAAGGCCTCTGAGTTCCAAGTAGTATTTCTAATAGCAGGAGTTTCTGGCCTTGTATGTGTATCATCTAAATGAAACCTCAAAATCGTCCCCAACCATGACAAAAACAAGGTTCAAGAAGTATGAGCTTCCTCCTAGTGTACTGTAAGGTACACACCAGTCCAGAGTGATCTTTCGGAAATGCATATCTGACTGCTTGCTCCTAATTGAAAACCTTGCAGTGACTGCCTAAGTTCAGACTTTGTTTTTTTTTTTTTTGGTGGGGAGGGGTTGGGTTTTTTGGTTTGTTTTTTTTTTTGAGGTGCTTGGGATGGAACCCAGAGCCTCTTCCACCGAGCTACGTCCCAGCTGACTTGAGAGGTTTTCACTTGGTGTACAGGACCCTCTGCAGTTCAGCGCAGCCACTCTGCAGACTTACTGTTCACTGCTCCTTTCTGGCCCAACTAGAACTTCTTTTCATCACAGAGATGCACACAGCATGCATGCAACCACGCCCAGTCACACACACGTACCTCTTGTCCCTGGGCCTTTGCATTCACTTGTAGACCCAGAATAGTCTTCCCTACCTCCTGCTTCTCAGGGCTGACTTCTGTTCAGGTCCTCTGTGGATGTCAGTTCCTCTAAGAATCTTTTTCTATTCCTCAGTTGGAGTCAGTGCCCCTCCCCTGAGGTCAGTCCCCTGGATGTCCTCAAACAAAGCACCCAGCTGCTCCTTGAATCCTCTCCTACCACTGGACTGTGCTCTCCACAAAGACAAGCCCAGGTCTCTTACAGTCCTCACTGTGCTCTGCTCCCCTGACGCAGGGCCTAGCACATTGAAGACGCTCAGTAACCCATGTGGCAGATGGATGAATGGGGAGCAGGGGCTCAAGTCACATCCCCCAACTTCCAGGCCTATGCTCTTGGTAACTCTTACCTTTTCCTTACTCAGCAGTGTTTGGAGAAAAAGTAGGAGAATTAAATGGAGATCTTTGAATCTGAAATTGATCAGCAATTGTATATTATGCCTCTTTTTGGCTTTTTGAGATACAGTTCTCACTCTATATCCCAGACTGGCCTCAAACTCAATATCCTGCCCCAGCCTTTGGAGTGCTGGAATTACAGGTGTGTACCACCAACTCAGCTTTTTTTTTTGCCAAACCAGAGATTGAATTCAGGGCCTCACCATTTGTGCCACGTCCACAGTCCATATTGTGCCTTTTAATACACAGAATATTTTGCTTGACTTTCAAGGTCTTAAAGGTACCCTGGCTCCAGCAGGGTGGGTGGGAATGGAAGACATCTACATCCAACACCCACATTCCTTAGCACAGTCAGCAAGAACTGTGATCAGAGCCAGGCACCAGTGGCTCATGCCTATAATCCTAGCTACTCAGGAGGCATAGATCAGGTGGATCTTGGTTTGAGGCCAGCCCCGGGCCAATAATTCACAAGACCCTATCTTGATCCATCACAAAAAAGGGATGGTGGAGTGGCTGAAGGTGTAGGCCCTGAGTTCAAACGCCAGTACCGCACAAAAAAGACCTGTGATCAGGCCTACACCTTTCTCCGACCTCATCCCAAACTTCTTTGGGATGTGCCTCAGCTGTTTTGTCTTGAGCACACTACTCTTGTCTCTGCCTGGAATGCTCTTCCCGCAGACCCTCCCCTTCTCATATCTCCAGCAGCATGGCCTCAGGGAAGGCCTCCTGGACCACAGTTTGTTTCCTCTAGTTGATCTTTTGGCATTTCCCTTTGTTCCTTTGTGGCACATCACTTCCTGAGATTATCCCAGCTACTTATTTGATTATCTTTTCATTAGCTATCTCCCTCACTTAAAAAACTAGAGGGCAGGGACCTTATTGGTCTTGCTCTCTGCTCTGTGCTCAGTGTCTGGCACATGGTGGTCATCTCAGTAAGCAGCAGTTGAATAGACGAATGAATACTTAACCAGAGCAGCTGATCCCTTGGTCCTCACACCAATGCGGCCTGGTACTGACCCATACCCCACTTCCTCTTCTGGCCTTTGGTCTCATCCAGTCCTTGGTTTCCTGAGTACCAGCCCGGCTCCCTGGCACACGTTCTGCGTTTCCACCTCCATACATCTTAGATGCCTCTCTAGTTCTCCTTTTCCCATTGTAACTCTTTGGCTGCCTCCAAAGACCCCACAACTCCTGCAGTCTCTGCCTCCCAAACTGTGGGCCTCTTACCCTCACTTTCCCTGCTATGGCTCTACTGCCTCCTACTGGCAGTAGGCGGCACTGCCTTCCTTCCCACTCTACCTCACTAAGCCAGCCTTTCACCCAGGCAGTGGGTCTCCTGCCCAGCTTCAGGTTTTGACTAGTCTCACCAGGGATGTATGTCAAGCAGCCCCCTGCCTTCTAGGGACATTGACGTTGTCCCTCCCGTCTTCCCACAGGTATGTCTCCTGTGCCCTCGGATGCCCCTATGAAGGGAAGATCTCCCCAGCTAAAGTAGCTGAGGTGTGTGTATGGTGGGGCGGGATTTCTTGAGGGTCTGCTACCTCACCTCGCCTATGCCTGCCTGCATAGGTGCCCCTTGCCACCCTTTCCCATCAGGTCCCTGATTTTATCCAACACCCAAACTCCTTAGCACAGCCAATAGGACCTATTCTTTCCTTAAGCCCCTTGCAAGCCCAGCCTCATTGCTCCCTGCAGGCTCCCCTTCTAGCCAGGCCTCTGCCCAACCTGGAAGCCTTCGTTCAGCTTCCAGTCCCATCTGCCAGCAGGTGATCCTTGAATCAGTAGCCTCAGACAGACCTTGCCTAGGAGTCCTGGGGTCCTTGCAGGCAGGAGGCCACAACCTCGGCATCCTCTGAATAGGAGCCAAGTCAACACCAGCTAACCCAGGATGGGAACTGAGTTTTAGCAACCCACGAGCTTATAGCATTTATCCTCAAAACCTTCTACAAATTTGCTGTTCTTCCATTTTACAGTCAACGAAACAAATAACTTGCTGCCCGGGTTGCAGACGGCAAAATCCAATCTCACCCAGTTTGTCTCCCTACAGAGCCCACTTATTCTTCCCAAATACCATGGGACATCCATCTAGAAAAAATAGTTACAGTGGCGACTGCTTATTGAGAGCTGCTGCCAGGCCCCAGTCTTAATCTGCCGATGCTGCCAGACCTCACTATCCTGCAAGCAGCCATCGCCCCTTCAAGAAGCAGAAATTGAAGCTCAGAGAAGTTAAGCTACCTGCCAAGGCACACAGCTCATGAGCAGTGGCACAAGGACTTCAATCAGCATCCACATGACTCCAGAAGCCTGCCCCTCCTGCCACCGTTCCTTTCACTCTTCATACATGGGCAGGGGACAGGGAAGTCACCATGTCATTTATCTAGCATAGTGAGCATTCTAATCATTTGTGAACATCACTCTTGTCCCTTGCCTGCCAAGGCCTTCCTCACCTGTCCAGCAACTTGGTATGGGCAGCCTCTCCTTAGGGGAAGCATCTGCTGCTCCAGCTTTGCAGTGTTCTAGGGATTTGTGAACGGGCTTCAAAAAGCCCATTATCTCCAGCATTTCCCTAAAATTACATACTGACATTTCAGAGACACAGTTTCACAGATCTTATTGCAGAGGAAAAAGCTATGTGAAAGAAATCAGTTTTCAGATTCCAGCAGCTGGCACTGATAGTATGTGAGGTGTAAGTGAAGCACTGGTGTGGGGGAGCTCAGGGCTGCTCCAGTGGCGAACTCTGTTCCCTAAGGCTCTGTCTCCTGATAGGTGGACAAAGCTCATCATCCCACTCAGGACAAGGACCTGCTAGGAATTTAACCCCTCAGACACTGAGGATCTGCCTGGGCCAAGGATCCCTGCTTCTGAGCTCTCAGACCATCCTGGCTGGTGGATCTGGAACCCTGTCCTCTAAGTGCCTGCTTACTTTCCCAGGTCACCAAGAAGCTGTACTCCATGGGTTGCTATGAGATCTCTCTGGGGGACACCATCGGTGTGGGCACACCAGGGCTCATGAAAGACATGCTGTCTGCTGTCATGCGCGAGGTCCCAACAGCTGCCCTGGCTGTCCACTGTCATGACACCTATGGCCAAGCCCTGGCCAATACCCTGATGGCCCTGCAGGTAACCAGAGACACATTCTCACTGCTCAGCGGGCACGGGGAGAGCAACTTGGCTTCATTCTTTTTTTTTTTTTTTTTTAAGTTTATTAATAATTTATTTCCAGGACTTGGGAGACTGAGGCAAGAGGATCTTGAGTGTAAGTTTAACCTGGACTATATAGTGAGAACGTGTTTCAAAAAAAAATTTTAAAACAGTTCTGTTTATTTTTTATTTTGGTGGTACTAGGATTTGAACTGAGGGCCTTGAGCTTGCTTGACAGGTGCTCTACCACTTGGGCCATGCCATCAGCCCATTTTTCTGCAGTCATTTTCATCAGGGTCTCGTTTTTCTGATTGGGCTTGCCTGGACCTCAATCTTCGTATTTACCCTAGCTGGGATGACAGGCATGCACCATGGCACCTAGCTCTTTATTGGTTGAGATGGGGACTTGCTCTTTTTTGCCTGGACTGGCCCTGAACCACAATCCTCCCAAACTCTGTCTCCCAAGTAACTAGGATTATAAGTGTGAGCCACTGCACCTGGCTAACTCTTTTTTTTTGCAGTACTGGAGTTTGAACTCAGGGCCTCCACCTTGAGCCACTCCACCAGCCCTTTTTTGTGAAGGGTTTTTATTTGAGATAGGGTGTTGCAGAACTGTTTGCCCAGGCTGGCTTCAAACCACAATCCTCCTGATTTCTGCCTCCTGAGTAGCTAGGATTACAGGTGTGAGCCACTGGCACCGGCATACCTGGCTAATTCTATTTATCATATATGTATGATATATATGATATCACGATATATATATATGACATATACAATATAGGTAACAGAGTGGAACAGAAGATGTCACAAAATACTCCTGTATTAGCACAACCTTTATAGCAACATTACTAAACCAGAGGGTGCTGCTCAGGGAAGTGAAGTTGACCTTCCTGTTTGCCTATAGCTTGGGAGAGTGGCAGGCAGCCAGCTCTCCTGTTTCAGTCCCTAGTTCAGGCTGTGCCATCAGGTGAACAGAACAGCAGTGTGGATTCCTCCGGTTGAGAGCTATCCGCCCCCTCCAGAATCTCTGACCCATTCTCAGAGGTAAGTCTCCGCACAGCCGGGCTTCCAGCAGACTCAACATTTCCATAGTCCTCTGGGGCCCAGTGACAGGCCAGCAATGAAATGCCTATGTGAACCTGGGGAACATCTGAAGGTTTTAAGGAACCTGGAATTCCCTTTGTAGCTGAGGGGCTTGGGGCTGATAACTCCCCAAAGTGGAACATTGATGTCCGAAGCAGTGGTCTCACATGCCATCCCAGGACATGGACATCAGTAGTTAGGAATATGTAGTGAATGGGGCAAGGAATAGGATGCTGGTGTCCTCACAGCAGGGTTCCCAGTGTAACACTCTCAGGAAAACTGGATTATCTTTCTGCCCCTACATTTTAACTATTCTGGTTAGGGGTGAGCAGCAGAGTCTAGGGCCCATGAGGTTGCAGAGGCCAAAGCCAAAAGGCTCCCAGACCCTCCTCAAGGCAGTGACACAGAGGGTAGAAGCACTCTCTAGTCAGACAGGGCAAGTCCCTCTGTTTTAAGGTTCGCCATCTGAGCAGTTGCCTCTCAAGAAACCTGTTCCTAGCCAATGTTATTTGACACTGGGCTTCGACGTGCCTGAAGTGGACTGGCTGTAATAGTCCAAGCGTACACTAAATACCAAGTGATAATGCATTAATAAAGGGTTACGGGTAAGTTAATATAGCAGTTTAAATCTGTAAAGAGCCCAGAAATATATCATCGTTAGTGCTTATCTTCTGCAAGTGACCACATGGTTATAGCTGTTTGTCAAGAAAGGGTCTCACCATGTTATCCATGATGGCCTAACTCCTGCATTCAAGGGATCCTGCCATTTCAGCACTTAACCCAGTAGCTGGGCATTTAGGCACATACCAGCACACTGGCTCATAGTCTGACTCTCAACCTGCCCTCCCACTACCTGTCCCAAATTCCCCACAGCTTGACTGCTCTTAGGTCTTGCCAGTAGGCTGACCTCCAGGAGGGTCTACTTGCCAGTAGACCCATCTACCTCAGTTCCCACAAGCTATCAAGGCATTGCATTTCCTGGTGGAAACCCAGCCTCCATGGTTCAGGGCACACTGCAATTGAAGGTACCCCAGGAGACTGGCCCTCCCAGGACCAGGGCTCCTTGGATGGTGCCTACTGGCATCATTTATTCTTTCAGCAAACATTCACTGATGCCAGCATGCTAGGCCGGGGCTGCCAATGGCAGACAAAGACATGGTGACCCTCCCTAAAAGTGTCCATCTGTCTGTTGGATAGATGGGAGTACATGACAATCCTATTGCATTATGACATATGCCGGGAAGGGACAAAGTGCTAGTGTGGAAGTCTAGAGCATGTCAGGGATGATATGGCAAAAGATGCCCCAGTGAGGCTCAAAGGATGTGAAGTTAAACAGCCTGCAGAGCTGGCTGTAAAACTTAGCTAGGCTCAGCCCTGTGGGCTGAGGATGCATGTGTGGGGCCGGGAGGAAGCCAGGGGACAATGGGAGGAGCAGCAGATGCTGCTCAGAGGGAGGGGGCCTTCAGTGCTGTTTGGTTTCCCTTGAGGTTTGTTTCTCACGGGCTGGCCGAGGGGTTTGGTTGGTGGGCAGCCCCCCAACAGAAGGGACATTCATGGTTCCTGATCACAGACTGCTTTGCTGCAGCATTAGTCTGGCCCGCCATGGTTAAGAAAGTGAAGACTATCCCCAGCCTCTCATTGCCTCTTATATTTTATTTAGGCATTGCTCCCGTGTTTCCTAAAGGTCCAAATCTCCAGGCCAGATGACTCTTACTTTCTAGGTTTGTTTTCTCCAGAGTTGTAGTTGTCAAGGTTAAGGCTAGATCCTCCATTTTTCAGCTTGCTGTGACTCCCTGCCCTGGGCCCTCCTGCAGCCTGTGAGTTGCCTGGTCAGGCAGGCTGAGGAGAATGCCTTCCTTTCCATGCCTCGCCAGACCACATAGGCATGGTAGGTCTGAGGCAAAACTTCATCCTGACCATGCCAGGGCACTCCCTCTCTCTTCCCTTCTCTATTTCTGTCCTCAGGGTCCCTGTGTGCTGACAGGCAGTAGTTTCCTCTGCCTGCCTCTTTGGTCAGTTACTGCAGAAATATTTAACATGTGACTTCTGTGTGCTGGGTACTCTCTAAGTGCTGATGAGATAATAGGAATAAGACAGGGCCAGTTCCTGTCCTCTTGGAGCCCATGTTGTAGTGGGGAAGATAGGTGAAAGGTGAGAACGTGCAAGCAGATTGTAAGGGAGTTTATTCAGCCATTAAAACTGAACACCTGTGTGCCTGGCATCGAGCATTCAGCTGTAAAGTCCATGACCACATGACACTAGCACTTCAGTGATGAGACAGATAATACACAAGTAAGCACATAGTGAGCCAAGTGCCCGTAAGTGCTGTGGGGAAAAATAAAGCAGGGTAAAGGAGTACTGGGGCTTTCTAGAGAGTGGCCTCCCTCAGCAGGTTATAGGAGAAGGAGCTGGGCAGGGACTCAGAAGGAAGGAGGAAGGAAAAGTCCAGCTCAGCAACAGTAGGTACAAGGCCCTAGAGAGTGTGCTTGCTGTGTGCAGGGAACATGGAGGAGCTACATATTGCAGCAGTGTGACCAAGAGGAGGGTGGTAGACATCAGAGGTGGAGGAAAGAGATCCAGTATGACCCTGTAGAACTTTGGCTCTTTCCAATGAAGCTAGAAAACTAGCAGAATTGAGCAAAGAAAGGGGGAGATTATGATCCAAGATTGTCCCTTTAAAAGTCCCTTTGACTTCAATTTGTAGAATAGATTAGAGAGACAGTAGTAGAGACAGAAGGACCACCTGGCCTGCCATAATCCAGGTGGAAGATGGTGGCAGGGAAGCCAGAAAGGAGCAGTGTGTGGGTGGATCACAGCAACAATTCTCAGGCTTTTCAGTGGAGCTGTTGAGGAAGCCACTGACCTGTGACTCTCCCAGTTCAGGGAGCATCTCGGTTGGGTGTAAACAGTTTGAAATCTTTGGCCCAGAAGTGGGATTTAAAGATTGTGAAACTTCCTGGGAGTATGTGTAGCTCCAGTCATCTAAGGAGTGAGGGCTGCACCCTTCAGAGTGGAGGAGGAGTTGATGAGTGGAACAGGCTGATGAGGAAGAGCCAGAAAGAGTGGACAAAAATCTTTGGAAGAAAATCAGGGGGACATGGAGCCCTAGGAGCCTTGTGAAGAAACTGTTCATAATGATGGTGCTGATAACCAAATACAGAGAAGATAAGACTTGACCTTCGGAGGTCACCATGACCTTGACTAGAATTGTTTCAGTGGAAGAGCTATGGGGACAAAACCTCATTTACAATGAGTTCAAATGAGAGTGGCTGAGATAAGAAGTAGATTTTGCTCTTTTGAAGCTTTGAATGGGGCCAAAGAATGGGAGGCTGGAGGGTTCCCAAAAGGGTTCAGAAAGGATGAGTAGGATGGTATCCTAGCCTGCTGGTGCTGGAATGGTCCAGCAGGAGGAACAGGTTGTAAGAACCAGAGGGAGACTTACTGGACTGCAGCCTTGAATAGGTAGGAGTGACCTTGAGCAGTTGCTCAGAGCTATCCTAGGCAGCAAGCAGGAGAAGTAGAACATCTGTGGCCCAGATGCAGGCAGTGGGGAGCTAGTGGAGGCGTCTCTTCTGATTGTATCTGTTTCCCTTTGACTAAGGAAGCAGCTGAGTGAGAATGGGGAGCAGGAGTAGAGGTGAATGGAGAGAGATGAGAGTGAAACAGCTGTGCAGGAGAGTGGAAGCAGCTGACCTGGGACAGTACGGGAGCTCTTGTGGGGTTAGAGGCCCTGACTGAGAGCAACCTGGTTTTGTGTGTGTGTGTGTGTGTGTGTGTGTGTAAATGTAAAGGGATCAGAAAATAATGGGGGTCAGAAATCTCAACCGTGGGAGATGTTGGTGATCTGGAGGGGTCTCTCTGAGGAGGTAGAGTCAGTTGGGGAGGAATGGCAGGAAGATACTCTGGCAGAAGAGATTTGCTGTGTCAGGAACCTTGTGAGAGAAGTGCTGTGTCGCAGTGGGATTTTCACTTATAACTCATAAGCCAAAGGACAGATGGAGATTGCAAGTACCAACTCTACAGGCTCTGGTTCTCGGTGGCAGCCACATTTCACTGTTCTTATACTTCCAGATGGGAGTGAGTGTCGTGGATGCTTCTGTGGCGGGACTTGGAGGCTGCCCCTATGCACAGGGGGCATCAGGGAACTTGGCTACCGAGGACCTAGTCTACATGCTATCCGGCTTGGGCATTCACACGGTAAGCCTGCCTGTCCCGTGGTGGTGACGGTTCTGAATTGACAGGGCTCTGCCTGGAGCCAGATAACAGAAGCAAATAGCAAGTTTGGAGTTGCTTGGGTGGTGGGAGGGGATTATGGGTGTTTTATCTCATGATTCTGGGGCAGCCGATATGCTTGAAACTGGCCATGAGCATGAGCCCAGGAAAGCCAGGGCCTCAGAATGACGTTCATGATTCAGTCCTAGGAGGCCCCAGGTATATGGAAGGAGCCTGAAAGGGGCCAAGTGCAGGCCTGAAATTAATCACTTCCTCCTGAGCCTTTGTTTTGTTCTCTGTGAAGTGCAGACAGTGGAGTTAGCACCCCCAGAGCTGTGCCAGAGCCTGTTTGGACCCCAGCGACAGCAGGGAAGTCAGACTGCATCTGTGCTATCTGTGTGCATCTGTGTGAGATCCAGTGAACTGGACTTAAAACCCAGGCCTGTCCTTTACAAGCTGTTGACCTCACATTATTTCATCTCTCTAAACTCGAGAAATAGAAATAATACTAGCACCTATTTCATCAGGCTGTCATGAGGATTAAGTAAGAAAATGTATGGCTGGGAGTATAGCCCAGTGGTAGAGTTATGCTTGGTACATTTGAGACCCTGGGTTCCATCTCCACCAAAAGAAAACCACGTAGAAAGTTTATGTAGGGTGCTTAGCACACTGCAGAGCACACTGTACACACCAGCAAACTGGAGCTGCTACAAACAAGTTATCTGGGACTCGGGACAAAGCTTAATGGTAGAGTGGCTGCCTAGCATATGCAAGGCCAAGAGTTTGATCTACTGCACAGGGGAGAAATATAAACGGATTATCTGTGGGCCAAGCCCTGTGCTAGGTCCTGAAAATGTAAATTGAAGACTCATGAGGTCACCTTCCTCTGGTGGCACCAAATGCCAGCCAGAATTCACTTCACAGGCAGCTGGTATCCCACTGTCAGGAACCAGAGTCTGTTTGTCATCACCTTTACTTTTCCAGTGTCACAGTTGTCTTTCCAGTCTCATGCTTTGCCGAGTGTTGAGGGCAGATCATGACTTACTATTTCCTCTAACTTGTTTCTCCAAGGGTGTGAACCTGCAGAAGCTCCTGGAAGCAGGGGACTTCATCTGTCAAGCCCTGAACAGAAAGACCAGCTCCAAAGTGGCACAGGCTACCTGCAAACTCTGAGCCCCTTGCCCACCTGCAGCTCTGGGTACTGCGTGGGATTAGGGCACACATGGATAATTCCTGGATGGGGAAACAGAAATGAGAAGTAATTAAAAGGAGTGGACACCTCCCAGGCAGCTCTGCAGAACGAGGCTCTCTAGGCCAGACATGGAACAGTGAGCAGCCTCCATAGAAGTCTCCCTTCATTATGGGCCCAGGGTTTGGTGCCTGAGGACAGTAAGGAACCTGCTTGGGGTGGTCCTTGAGTCTCATTGTGCATGAATCCGCCAGCTAGCTAAGCAGACCCACACAGCTCCACCCTGTCATGGCGATGGTCACTGCTCTATTCTGAAGGCAAAGGGCATGGAGATTTCCCCCAAGCTGGCAGAGGGCATTTGCTGAAAAGGCAGGGCTGAACTGTAATGGCCATCTGCCAACTCCAGCATCTGTGGTTGTTGAAAACAAGTCATGTAATTAAAGCCTTAATTTTAATCCGTGGTGCAGATGTGGATTTATGAGGGGAGGAATAAAGTCTCCTTACAGTGTTGCACTGAGGGGAAAATGCAGACTTCTCATATATTTGGGTTTTTTTTTTTTTTTTCTGTCACTATGGAGACTACGCGGGCAGCCAAAGGGGTTGTTACTGAGCCGCGACTCTGCCCAGGGTGGTGGCAGTGCTGATCTCTGCCCCCAGGCCGTTCCCGGGTGGGTTTGTCGCTGCTGGGCTCCGTGGCGGGCAGGGCGCAGCCTCCGTTCCGGGTGGGCGGGGGCCGCTTGCGGGCTCAAAGCGATGGGCACAGCGGCTCCTGCCGCAGCAGCAGAGATCCGTCCCGAGCTGCTCGATCTGCTCCCAAATCGGGCCCCCTGGGCGGCCCGGGCCATGGCCTCTACCCAGTGCAGCCCGCCGTCGCCTTTGCGCGGCGTCTTTTCATTTCGTGCGAGACTTGGGCAGATCGGGCAGGGCGCAGCCTCCGTTCCGGGCGGGGGGCCGCTTGCGGGCTCAAAGCGATGGGCACAGCGGCTCCTGCCGCAGCAGCAGAGATCCGTCCCGAGCTGCTCGATCTGCTCCCAAATCGGGCCCCCTGGGCGGCCCGGGCCATGGCCTCTACCCAGTGCAGCCCGCCGTCGCCTTTGCGCGGCGTTTCTTTTCATTTCGTGCGAGACTTGGGCAGATCCGGGGGAGCTTGGAGACCTGCGGGCCTGCGCGGAACCCGGGGTGCAGCTGCGGGGCTGGGCACGGCGAACGGAGGACAGCGCTGCAGCCGGGTCGCGGGAGGATGCCGCACTTCCGGCTCCCGTGGAAATGCGCCGCGCAGTAGCCGGACAGCTGCGCTGGCCTTTTGTCCTCCTGGCGCTTCCGTAGTGGCGTAACCCAAGCGACACGTTTCCTTGGGGACGTAGAGGGGGCGGGACCAGGGTAGGCTGTCAGCTCTTAAAGGAACCGCCGCGCAGCGCGCGGGAGGCGGTGCCGCTGGAACCAGCGCGGGGCGCGCGATCCTCAGCAGGTTCGCGGGCGGAATGAAGGGCCGGGAGGGCTCGGGAAGGGCCGGGAGGTCGTCGGGTAGCGAGGGAGGAGGGTCGGGCCGCGTTCAGAGCAGAGGCCCGCCCCTTCGGCTCGGGTTTCCCGCTACCGTGGCGGTGGCCGCGGGGGTTCATTCATTCCGGGCCCGGCTCCTAGCTCGTCTTGCGAGCCACGGCACAGATCCAGCCTGAGGCTCAGCCGCGCTCGAGCGCTTATGGCCCAGCATCTTCTCCCCTCCATTGTACAGACTGGGAAAACTGAGGAAGCGACAGCTGACCAAGGTCACGCCGTGTCCGGGTCGGCGCCGACCTCAGACCAGCCTTCCTGCCTCCCGTGGCACCTCCGCCACTGCCCAGGGCGCGGGGCTCGGCGGGGACCTGGCGGGAGGCAGCGGGTAGAGGACGGGCTGCGAACCTGGAGATCTGATCCAGCCCGGCTCTCACTAGCTGTGTGACCAAGGCAAATTACTGCACTGCTCTGGCCCCCAGCACCTTTTCTCTGTAAAGTGCCAGTAATAAGACCTGCCTGGTCAAGATGTGGGGAGAACTTAGGAAATGGCGCGGGCGTGCGGGGTACCGAGCCTGGCATGCAGCGGGCGCTCAGTGCAGTGGATTGGAGCTGGGTGAGCCCAGAAAGGGCTGGAGGAAGGCAGCAGCGGGCCAGGCCGCGGGAATGAAAGGTCTCAGTGTCCTGGGTTTCTCTGCCCGCCCCGCCCCACTCCGCTGCGAGGTTTGTTCAGGGCGGAGATGCACACCTGGCAGTGGAGCCTGGGCCAAGTCCACGTCGACGCTGGTCCACTCAGTGCCGCCTGAACTTGGGCGGGATCCTTAGCTCCAAACCAGGAGAGACGGGGCTGGGCTGGCCCTGGCACGGGCTGAGGCTGAGCCAGCCACTGCCCTGGGGTGGGGTGGGACCCAGTCCAGGACTGTGGTGCTGCAGTCCCGAAGCTGGGCTTGGCCCGCCAGGTCAAGGACCCCACCCTGGAGGCCGTCTAGTGTATTTCCTGCTTCCTCCCAGCTGACCCCTGAGGGAGGGGGAGGGAAGAGGCTGCCCAGAGCAGGAGGTGTTAGTTCCGAAGCCCAGGAGCCAGTTGCCATCTAGTGATGGTGGAGGCAGTAGGATGGCCTGACTCAAACGGACCAAGCCCCTCCCCCAGGATCCTGGAGTCCCAGTCCTGGCATTGGGGACAGAAGTATGGGTTCTCAGAGTCCATCTTCCCAACCCTGGGTCAATTTACTATCTGGCGGCTGGCGGGGTGGCTCAAGTGGTAGAGTGCCTGCCTGCCCTAGCAAGCTTGAGGCCCTGAGTTCAAATTCCAGTGCGCCCTCTCTCTCTCTCTCTCTCTCTCTCTCTCTCTCTCTCTCACACACACACACACACACACACACAGAACGGAGGGAAGGAAGGAAATACAGTATTCATGTGTCTGTCTCCCTCCTGTACCAGGTGGCAGGCCTTTAAAATCCTCACTGAACCCTCCCTACTAGGTGGTATGTGTGCAGTCATTAGCTCTGTCTTACAGCGGTGTAAACCATGGCCAAAAGAAGGTAGTGGAGCTCAAAGCCTAAGGCCAGAAAGTGACAGCACCCAGACTTGAGCCAGGGCTGACTGCAGAGCCACCCCTTTAACTTGGGCCCACTGCTGCTTCCCTCCAATGTGAGGTCAGGGGACTCTGAGTGGGCAGCGTCAGCCACATCTAACACTCTGTGTCCTAGACCAGGTGCAATGGCAGAGAAGGTGCTGGTAACTGGAGGAGCTGGCTACATCGGCAGCCACACGGTGCTGGAGCTGCTGGAGGCGGGCTACTCACCTGTGGTCATTGACAATTTCCATAATGCCATCCGGGGTGAGTGTGGGAGCCAGAGCCAGGTTTCTGGAGGGCGTGGAGAAGGAAAACCTAGATCCAGGACCCCATCTCCTGATCCTGCCACCAGGAGGAGGCTCCATGCCTGAGAGTCTGCGGCGGGTACAGGAGCTGACAGGCCGCTCTGTGGAGTTTGAAGAGATGGACATCTTGGACCAGGCAGCCCTACAGCGCCTCTTCAAGAAGGTGGGTGCTGGCAGGCAGGCTGGGCCAGTGCCAAGGACTAGGCCCTTGAAGTTACCTCTGACCTTGGCTTTGCCCCACAGCACAGCTTTAAAGCCGTCATCCACTTTGCCGGGCTCAAGGCTGTAGGCGAGTCAGTGCAGAAGCCTCTGGATTATTACAGAGTGAATCTTACAGGGACCATCCAGCTTTTGGAGGTGAGAGGACTGGGCAGGGACACAGACCCCAGGAGGGCCTCCAGCAGGACCCCATTGGCCAGCAGAGGCAGCCACAGTGGGGAAGGGCCTGCGGGAGAGAGTCAGACAGGGCCCATGCTGCATCATCTTGGACATGTCTTTCCCTCCCAGTCTCAGTTTCCCCATCTGTAAATGGGAATGCCCATCACCTCAGCCCCACCCTCCCAGGGGCACAGTGGGACTAGTGTGTGAAGCACAGGCCCGACTCTGCTCTCCATATCCAGACCATGAGAGCCCATGGGGTGAAGAACCTGGTGTTTAGCAGCTCAGCCACGGTGTACGGAAACCCCCAGTATCTGCCTCTGGATGAGGCCCACCCAACAGGGGGCTGTACCAATCCCTATGGCAAGTCCAAGTTCTTCATCGAGGAAATGATCAGGGACCTGTGCCAGGCTGATAAGGTAAGGGTCCCTTGACCCAGCCTTGGCTCTGTTCATTGACTGATTCCCCGTGTTCCCCTTGAACCTGAGGTGGAATCCTGAGCACCTCCAACCCCAGGGAGGAAGCTGAGGCTCAGAAATGGCAGTGACTGGCCCAAAGTTGCAGCACTGGCAGGGAGGGCCCCATAACCTTGCTCATTTCTAGAGAACAGGCATGCGGGTGACGCATAGGTCTGTGGACTCAGCTGGGATGTGCTGCCTGTGCCCCTGCCCCACTGTCTCCCCCACACCCACAGGCCTGGAATGCTGTGCTGCTGCGGTACTTCAACCCCACAGGCGCCCACGCCTCCGGCCGCATCGGCGAGGATCCCCAGGGTGTCCCCAACAACCTCATGCCCTATGTCTCTCAGGTAGGGGGAAGTATAAGGGATGGAGGCAGTGACCTAGGAGTTCAGCTGGTGCTGAAAACCTGGAAGGAGCTGATCTGACCTTTGCCCCTAGGTGGCAATTGGGCGACGGGAGACCCTGAATGTCTTTGGTGATGACTATGCCACAGAGGATGGCACAGGTGAGCCTAGGACTGGGAGGACCAAAGAGGGGCCAGGAGGAAGACTGAGGTGGGATAGACTCCTCATTCAACCATCGTCATCTGCAGGCGTCCGGGATTATATCCATGTCGTGGATTTGGCCAAGGGCCACATCGCAGCCTTGAGGAAGCTGACAGAGCAGTGTGGCTGCCGGGTATGAAGTGAAGAGGGAGTCAGGGAGGGAAGGGGTCAAATGCTTGGCCAGCAGGGCTCAGGAGGGTAGCCGGTCCGGCCCCTCCACAAATGCGGTTCTTCTGGCAGATCTACAACCTGGGCACAGGCACAGGCTACTCCGTGCTGCAGATGGTGCAAGCCATGGAAAAGGCCTCAGGGAAGAAGGTAGGTCCTCACCACACCAGCAGTCAGGAGCCGAGGCCCTTCGCTGCCTTCGCTCACCCATCGACTATCCCAGCACATCCAGGCCCCTCCTGCTCCCCAGCACCCCAGGGCCAGGTGTTCATCTACTCTTCTGCCACCTCCTCATAGATCCCATACAAGGTGGTGGCGCGGCGGGAAGGTGATGTGGCGGCCTGTTATTCCAACCCCAGCTTGGCCCACGAGGAGCTGGGCTGGACAGCAGCCTTGGGGCTGGACAGGATGTGTGAGTGCTGGCCTAACCCAGGAGAGCGAGGCGACAGGGGTGGGTCTGGGCCAGGCTGCCGTCAGTGCGGGCCTAATCACCCAGCACGCCTATCACAGGTGAAGATCTATGGCGCTGGCAGCAGCAGAACCCTTCAGGCTTTGGTGCACAGGCCTGAGGAACCCCCTCTACCACGGACCAGAAAAGACAAGGAGAAGCAGCTCTCTCCAGCCTCCATCAGGATCCCACTCTGGAGTTTTGGGGCCAAGCTGAGGCCACCCTACCTCAAATCCCAGCCAGGCCACTTGGCCTGGGGCCACAGGCTCCACTCTCCAGGAGCTGGGGCCTCTACAAATTATCTCCCACGGGATCCAGGAACTAACAGGACCACCAGAGTGGCTGAGAAGGCAGGGCTCTAGGACCACACACCGCCTCCCAGGCACTGACTAGACTGCTACGAGGGGGCTTGCCAAAGTATTTAAAATAAACATGCTTTCTTACACTGGGACAGACGCTCGCAGATGGCCACTGTGCACACCTTGAATAGAAGTCAGGCCTGAGGTGAGGAAGCAGTTTCTTTAATTTTATCGGAATCCAGGACACACAAGAAAAACACCCAAAACCACATGGAGACAGAAGACGAGACACAACTCCTCCCCCACTATCTCCCTGGTCCAGAGTGGGGACACAGAAGGAGTGAGACAGCCAGGGGGGCCTTGAGCCTCAATCCAGCCCTGCAGGCTCCAGGCCTGCGAGGGAGGAGGGCAACAGGGAGGCAGGGCCGAGCCCCCAAATGGGGAACCAGCCAAGGGAAGGCCCAGACGGACTCCACCTCCTCACCTGCCTACCAAGGGGCAAGCAGCCCACAGCAGCAAGGGGCCCGGGCCATGGACACATTCATGATTGAGAAGCAGCTGCAGTGAGGCAGGAGACACACACGATTATCTGGGCAGAATCACTGGGGTAGGGCCTGAAGGGCCCACGGGCCGAACCCTGAGGTCGCAGGAGGGGCCCAAAGCGGGGCTAGTGAGTGAGGTCCTGAGTGAGTGGGTCGGGGGCTGGGCCCCTTTCTCCCGCTGCCTGCAGCCCCTCCAGTACTGCTGCCAGGGACCCGCCTCGAGGGAAGTGAGGTGAAGAAGCAGTCCACCCCTGCTGTAAACTACCAGGTGGCCGAGGACAGCAGGGAGGGCCTGACCAGACCTCGGTGGCCTGCCCCAGAGGCCTGTGGGAAGAGGATGTGGTATGGGGGGAGGGAACAGGGGCTTGCTCGACCGGCTCAGATCCAAGACGGTGCCGCACTTGCTTGCTGGGTCCCTTGTGAGCTGGAAACTGCACTGGGTTCCAGCAGTGCTGGTTAGACTGGAGGCAGCAGCTTCTCAAGAAATTCCTTCACAGCTGCCATCTCCTGGGGTTGGGGGAGATTGTGATGCTCCCTGCTGGAGGCAGGAGGGAAAGGGATAGAAGCAGGCAATCCCCACTGACCTGAGGACAGGAGCTGTGCATGACACCTGGGTAGGTCTTGAACTGGACCCTGGCTGGTGTGACAACAGACCGGAGCTTCTCAGCCGTCAGGGCCCCAAACCGTACTGGTACCATGGGATCCAGCTCCCCATGGCACTGAAGGATGGCCAGGTCCTTGGCACTGCCGTTGGCTGCCTGTGGACCAGACAGGGCTCAGAGGACAAAGCCAGTGCTGCAGCACAATGGACACTCAGGGCAGGAGGGGCTGTGGGGACACTCACCTGAGGAAAGTTCCGGTGCAGAGGCAGCCAACAGCTCAATGCCACGATGCCAGCCAGAGGGTGGGGGCAGGTAAGGGCTGTGTAGAGGGACAGGGCCCCGCCCTGGAAGGAGGCATGACAGGTCATGAAGGTACAGCTCACCCACCCAGCCCCTCCCCCTTTCTCCCCCCTCACCTGCGAAAAGCCGCCCAGGACAATCCGATTGGCTGGAATCCCGTTCTTCATCTCATGCTCAATCAAGGCCTTGACTGGGGGGAGGGGCATGACTGGGCGGAGGAGCCACTGGGGGCCCTGAAGGGAGCCAGGCATGCCCACTGCTTTCTGGGGGTAAGGAGGGGAGGTGCTGGGGGATCAGGGCCTTACTGTTCTCTGCTGCCTTCTTGATGCCAGCTTCGTCTTCTGGGGCATCTGGGCTCAGTCCCATCAGGTCAAACCTGGATTTGCAGAGGCATTGCAGCTGCTGGAAGACTTGGCCAACCCCTGCAGCTCCACCAGCTCCCCCAACGCCAAACTCACCAGGAGGGCATCACCATCTTCATGTTGAGCGTCACAGGGATCCTGGGCCTGGGAGAGACAGCCAGGAGTAGTCATGCTCAGAAGAGAAGAGGAAGACACAGCAGAGAGCCCTGGGGCCCCTCCCAGCAGGCAGGGCCTGTGTTTAAGGTGTTGCCAGGCAACCTGCCACGTGGGGCCCCGGAGGCTGTGGTTAGGGCAGCAGCGGTAGTGAAGGAGTGCAGAGCCCAACAACAGTGATGGGGTTCCAGCTCGGTGGGTGAGTACTTGGGGAAGGGGCATGGGAGGCCCTGCTTCCAGGAAGTCTGGAGTCTAGCAATTCCGGGGGCTGGGGGCTGGAGCCCATTCCTGGGGCTCCACAGGAGCTAAGGTTAAACATGGCACTCCGGCTGCTCTGAGCACAAAGCTAGGATGCAGAGAGCACAGGCCTGGGGCCGCAGCATCACCTCCGTCAACCCCTCCCTAGCTGGGGTGACACTCACGCATGGGGACAGATGTACTTGACGTGAGGGAGCCGGATGGTGGAGAGGGCGTCAGCCCAGCTATGCCTGTAGGAGGGAAGGGAGAAGACTGGTGTAGGAAGGGGCAGCCCTGCCTGCTGGCCCTACCCACTCCCCAAGGAACACCCGTCCAGATCACTCACCCTGTGTCTCCAAGTCCATGTAAAAAAATAACCTGGAAAAAGTGACAAGTGGGGAGGTAGGAAGATGCCCCTTTGAGAGCTCATCCCCCTCCTGCCCCCCCCACTTCAGCCCACCTCTCCCCCAGTCCAAAGGACCTGGGGGAACAGAGGTGGGAGCCAACAGGTTACCAACACTGAGCCTCCTGGCTTCTGGGAATTCCCTTCTCATCACCGCCACCTCCCCGTTTCCCACACCCCCTCCAGGATCTGGCCCAGAAGCTGCCAAGAGTGGACAGGCCCTTACCGCGGCCGTTTCCCGCTCAGCTCCAGACACGGTGGCAGCGTCAGTGAGCAGGGGCACAGACATGGTGTTACCACACATACACTGCAGGGCTCCCTGCAGGCCGGGCCTGCACACAAGGGAGCAGCGGTCAAGAGCAAGGCCAGGCAAGAAGAGATTCCTGGCTCAAGGGGCCCACGCAGGCCATCACCCCCTCATAGTGCCCAGGTTCAGTACTGGGCACAGAGAAAAGGCAGGCAAGAAGTCTGGGGCAAAGGGTGGGAAGGTGGCCTCCAGTCCAGGGCTGAAAGCCACCCTAGTGTCCAGAAGCCATGGGTTGATTCTGGCCCAACCCCAGAGTGTGAGCTTGCTGGAGATGGATCAGGCAGGGATTAAGGGCTGGGGGAGAAGGGGAGGTAGGGAGCTGTCTGATGCCTTCCCCTCCATGCTCCTCTCTCCCTGGTCTCGGAGTACCCCTTCTCTGGAGCTGCTAGGTCCCCTCCTCCCCACCTCCCCTCCCTATGGGGAAACGAAAAGGAGAAAAACGCCAGGAAAATATGTTTCCACCCCCCCACACACACCATCTTCTCCATCCTCTCTCCCTTCCCTTCCATCCAGCCCCCATCCGGTCTTCACAGCAGTTTCTGGTTCAGCAATTCCCACGGCCTCTGGGGGCTCCCCATGTTCCCTGAGATCCTTAGGACTCTGGTTCTGCCACCTACCCCCCAACTGGTGTTCCACGGCCCTCCCCAATAGGACTACCTGCTGCTACTGCTAGGACCAGTGGCTACAAATGGGCCCCCAGCTGAACAGGTTCAGGGACTCCCAACACACAAAAGAATGTCAGACTGGCTGGCCCCTCCCGTCCTGAGCATCCTCTAAACTCCGGAAGCTTCCCGCTACCTGCCTTTAAGTGCCTACCGTTCCAGGGCGCCCAGCCCTCCGCACTGGCTCCCACCTTCCAGCTCTGACCCAACTGCTGCTTTCCATGGCACCACGGTCACAGAGCAGCTTGTGCCTCTGACCCTGGGTCCCTGTGTCCACCGGGGAATGCACCTGCTGTCCTAAGCCGGGATCCCTTCCCTTCTCCGCCCTGGGACACTCACCCTGGCTCCCCCTCTCCCTGACCCGGTGTGTCTCCCTCCCCACTGTAAGACCCAGGGTTCCACTCGCCATAGTGGGAACTTCGGTTCTGACCCAGGGTCACCACTCCCCACACTGACATTTTCTACCCTCGCTCGTACCCTTTCACAAAGGGACTGTCTGCCTTTGACCCTGGGGAAGCCCCCGCCCCACAATGGGATCCCCCACTTCCGAGCGCGCTGTCGCTCGCACCCCACGCGGACAGCCCCGGCCCGCCGCGCTCCGCTCCCAAGTCCCCAGGACTGGACAGCGCCTTCGCACCTCCTCCCCACCCCCATCCTCCGCCGCGCAGCCGCCCGCTCCCGGGACGCGCCCGCCGCGCCCGCCCCCCGGCCCGCAGCCCGCCCGCCCGGCCGGCCGGTACCTCGCTCCCTGGGGCTTCCGAGACCGCTGGGCGATTCTCCCCTTTCTCCCGCACAGACACACACTCTTCCCCCTCGGCCGCCCCCGCCGGAACTTCCGTTCGAGTCCCGGGAACCCAGCCATCGCGCTGCCGGAAGTAGCCCGGCCAGCGGTACGGAACCCGGAAGCGGGCCCGGTTTCCCGGCTAGGAGCTGCCATGTTGCGGTCGGCGGGGCCACTCCCTGTGATCCTGCGCTACCTCCTGCAGCTTCTGGACAGGGCATCGCGACCCCACTTCCACCACCCCCGGCCCTCCTGGAGGAGACCGTCCGGAAGGAGAGGCATTGCTCATTGCCACTAGCATAAAGTTTGCACCTTCCATCCCCGTGGTGGCCTTGGGTATCAGCCACTGCCTTAATACACTTCAGTGCTTATATATGCGGTACAAGATATCTTTATCTACCAATCATCTATCTATCGAAAATAGTCACATAGTATAGCATATTAATATCCATCATCTCAGTTACCTGTTTTTCCCCAGCGGCAAGAGCAGCTGTAACTTAGCAAAACTGCATACAACTATTAACTACACTCCTCACGTTGCACTTTCGGTCTTTCCACTTGCTCATCCCAGACACTGGTTTTCATGCCCTCCCCCAGGATCATGGATGGAATTATACACTCTGACCTGAAAAGACCTGTGTGCTCCAGTCTTATCTTAAAGATGAGGAAACTGAGGCACAGGGAAGTAAATAAACAGCAACTTCAGGATTACACTGTAACTCTGCCTTTCTTGACCTGCTTCCTGAGCTATAAAATGATAATAACCATCCTACTTCATAACTTTGCTGTTAGGCTCAAATGAGGACGTGTGAACATGCTTTATACATTGTAAAATGAGTGTGAGGCCTTAATCACTCTAAAAAGGATCTTGGGAAAATATACAGGCCACATCAGGATAACCGACAGGCATCAGCAGTGTTTAGCATGGTTCTTGACAAGCAGTGCCGTGCAGGGTGCGCAAAATGCCATTCAGTGAGCCAAGAACAAAGAGCTTCATTTGGTCACCTCTGAGTCACCCTTTGCACTGGTGAAGTGGAAATGGGCTCAGGGTCCACAGAAAGCCTGGGAGGCAATGTCCCTGACAGAACTGTGGCGCTCTGCAAACAGGAAATGAGTCACACTTGTTCTCCCAGCTTAACCTACACTGGTCTTTCTGTGAACTGAAGGAAATAATGCAAACTTGGAAGCTCAACAAAGCACTTTTCTCCATGACAAGCGGCAGTTTGGTCTTGAGTAATCAACAGGTCACAGAGATGGAGCTTGAAATACCAGGATTCTGGGTAGGAAAGCCGTGGGCACAGGGGTCAACAAGCCAAGTACCCATGACTGGATGTCACAAGAGAAAACGGATAAAAGTGAAAGAAAGTAACACAGCTGCCCCTACTACTGACAGCACCCCTGCCATACCACCTTTGCTCATGGAGGTAAAGTTCCTTCTGCACTGCAGGCACCTGAGGTACCAGGCACTTGCAGGCCTTCTGTGGAAGGTGGGGAGTAGTACTGGGGCTTTTGAGGGGGTAGGAGGTGGTATGGGGTTGTGAACTCAGGGCCTCATGCCTGTAGGCATTCCATCCCACGAGCCACGCCCTCACTCTACTTCAGCCATCTTCAGCTCGAAGCTCCAAATCAAGAGGCCCAGTTCCGGGGCTATCTGTGATTCCTGCTTCAGCTGGGGGAGAGAATGAAGGACCAGTCTGCTCTGAGATTTCTGTTTCTCCCCTAATCCAAATTTTAAAATAGCCTTTTTTTTTTTTTTGGCAGTACTGAGATTTGAACTCAGGGCCCCATGCTTGCATAGGTGGTCTACCACTTGAACCACTTCGCCAGCCTTTTTTTATGTTGGGTTTTTTGAGATAGGGTATCCCAAGCTGGCTTTGAACCACGATCCTCCTGATCTCTGCCTTCTGAGTAGCTAGGATTATAGGCGTGAGACACCAGCATGAGGCAAATAGCCTTTTAATCCTCAAAATCACCCAACTAAAGCAGCAGTAGAAGCTACAGATGAAGAATGGCTGGGACCCTTCGTGCACCAGGAACTGCATTTTCATTCTAGTTGACTTCAGACTGAATTTTAGAATTTTGAGGCCTGACAAAGATAAGGACAGGCTGAAGAAAATGACAACCTCCTGAAGAGTGTGGGCCTGTCCCTCAGAGGAACTCTGTCAATAGGATCAGATGTGGAACTTATTCCCCTCATCAACTTTTCGTACTTTCTGCAAGGGAGAGAATACAGACTGTCTCAAATCCGCTTTTCAGATACTTAAATTCTCTTCAATTATGTACTTTCAAATTAAAGGCCAAAGTCTTTGGTGTACCTTTAGGCAGAATGTGCTGCTCACCCTCACCTCTGCTATGCTCCGGCATCTGTCCTCCTTTGTTTTTGGAAATGTCATTCAACAGACTATTTCCCTTCATAAGAAATGGAATACAGATTTTGAATCCCAGCATCCTCTTCATGAAATGTGGAACTAGGAATAGTTTTGCTACATGGTACAGAATTACGCTTCACCTTTTCTGAAGAAACTGATCTAGTCTTTATTTAATTGCGGCACTTATGAGCTACCTAGATCAAAACAACAAAAAAATTTCAAGGTTTAATATAGTTCCCAGTAAAATTAAAGTTTCATCAGTACTACCAAAAATTCAAACAAAAATACAAACATTAAGCCTGGCAAGGATTTATTAGGAAGCTTATTAGTCACAGTGAATAAAAGCCATGAACAGAACTCTAGAGACCTCCAAATTCTGGCACTGGGCTTACAACACAAGTTAGAAGCTAATAAACATTAAGGAGGCTCCGGGAGGGAATCTTAACTAAGTCTCAGTCTTACCCAACCAGGTTTCCCACAGACATAGAAACAATTCCCATGCTCTCCCCAGATTGCTTAGCTAGGCAGTAGGAAAGACGACCTTCCCCACAAGGGATCACACACCATCAGGAGACTTCTGCCTTTCCAGCTATTGCCATGGGACGCTTGTGTGTGATGACAACTCCAAGCTGGGCAACTTGACAAGAATGCTAAGCAGTAATAGGGAAAAGGAGCAAGCAGGAACATGTGCTTCTAGCTGGAGACCCTCATGATGGTTAATACAAACACAAACCCAAACTTGCGGAAGGACTCCTGCAGCCCAAGATGTTTCCATTTTTAAAAAACATGTCACACAAAAATCCTGCCACAAAGCAACAAGACACTTGGGATCCCATGGCCAATACTGACTGGAAAAGCAAGCATTATCCACAACTGCCAGATACCACACAGCCTAAGACCCAACTTCTTCAGTGCCCTAGAGAACCATCATGTCCCTTGACACCCATACTACTCCTAGTGGTGTGCTGTCTTCTGCAGGCCAGGTTTTTGCACAACCCCAAAGACAAAGCCTGGCCGAAGTGTGGCAGGCAACTCTTGCTGGAGCCTCATTGTCATCCTTCCCAGCAGATGGTCACATATCATCACCGGCAGCACTTCTGAGGGAGCCCGGGCCAGCCCTTAGGAAATGAAGTGTGTCTGTGGGGTAACCTGATGGACCCGGTGGTCTGCTGGGTTGGCCGATGCTTCATAATTGCAGATGGTCACCTCGTGTCGGCGAAGCTGCAAGAAAATAGAGACTGTGCCAGTGCCATTAAGAAATAATCCTGTCTCAGAGCACACACAATGTAGTAGTCCTTATCAGATGCCTTGCTAGAAGTCATCTCTACAACTCCCCTTTTTATCTTGAGAAGTCAGCAAAAACCATTATCAAGGATTCACAGCAACTGAGAAAATCCATTCCCCCCACTACAATAGGGGCCACCTCAAGAAAAGGAGCTTGTCTTACTTATCATCTATCTCTGGTGCCTACAACAAGAAAGATTATCAAGAATGCGTTTTTTGGTGCTCAGTGTGGAACAGGGCCTTCAGCATGCTAAGCAAGCACTCCACCACTGAGCTACACCCCCAACCCACTATCAAAAATGTGAATGAATGGAAGAATTTCCAAGTTTTTCAAAAAACTATTAATTGACATAAATTGCATAATTTCTAAGCTCTGATAATAATACAGATGGTCTGTCAAACATGGGCAGTTTAAAATGATGAAGGCAAAGACTGGGATATAGCTCAGGGCAGAGCATTTACCTGGCATGCATGAGGCCCTGGGTTTGATCCCTAGCATCAAAAAAAGGTAAGACAAAAAAAAAAAAAGATGAGGGAGAAAAATGGAGGGGGTTAATCTAATTCCTTATATTGTAAGCACATATGTAAATGTCACAATGCATCTCCCCTATACAACCATTATATGCTAATAAAAAAATTATAAACAGATAAGCAACTAACATCTGGCTTGCCCTTTCCCTTCCAGCTCCCACCTCCGTGGTGTGCACATAAATATTTATCAACCCCTCTCACCTCAGTCCATTCTCCTCTCAGGCCAATATAAAAGACCTTTGTGGTATCTGCTCCAAAGTTTTTTGAAATATGAATCGAGAGATGATAGACATTTGAAAAACGGGAAATTCTAGAGGATGGAAAGGAAGAGGGAGAGAAGACACAGTTTACTATTCGGTGAACATCGCACCACCAGCGCAAACAAGAGTTCAGCTCCAGCGTGTAAAACAACCCAGGCAAATGCCAGAACACTCTTCCTTCTCAGTCTACTCCTTTGGACAAGCAATTAATTCAGTGGACATTTACTGAGCATCTGCCAGATCTAATCCTGTCCAAGGCAGGAGGGAAAGAAAAATGAAGAAACACTACTCCTGCCTGCAACGAGAAATGTATTCTAAAACATGTTCAGTGTTGACCTCGCCCTTAGGAAAAAGAAAAAACTAATGAGGAGATAATGTGGTCACCTGGAACTCAGCCTGTTACAAAATCATGATGCAAACAGAAATCCTAAAAACATGTTGCCTAAGACCAAGGAGCACATCCAGACCTGCCAACAAGTTCTGAAGTCTGGGGCTTGTACTGAATCTGTACCAAAAGTTGACAAGCCAAGGAGCAAGCATCCTCTGCTGTTTTAACTCACTTCCATGCTAGTAAGACAGGAAGAGACAGGCCAAAACTAAGAGGCAAGCTCTAGCGCTGATGCACATACTGCATGCTCACTGTGCATGCTCACCACACATGCTCATGAGGGAGCCGCATTCCTCAAGAAGCCATACACGCAAGCAGGCTAGTGCACGCCTGAAACCCAGCACTTGGGAGGTAGAAGCAGGAGGACCACAAGTTCAGGGCCAACCTCATCTACATAGCAAGACCATGTCTCAAAAAAAAAACAACAAAAAAGAAGCCACAGAGTGGAGAAGAGGTCCCCTGCTTACTTTGTAGCATACTCTAATTCTCCTGTAAGATCCCGATTCAGACTAAAGGTCTGATCTGGCTCCCTTTCTGTATCATCAAATGACATCTGTGGAATGTTCTTATACCTGGGAAAGGAAAGAAAAGGAACGTCAAGAAAGGTACATTATTAAACTTTTCAGTTTTCAAAACTTCCTACAGACTGTTCAACTGACTCAGTTCCATCCAAAGAATGGGGTCAAGTTTTAGAAAGGGCATTTTACCGGCATTTATATATAAATATCTTTTGCCAACAAGAAAAGAGCTGGGAACAGTGATGAGGCTTTTCGTTCCAGCTACTTGGGAGGCTGGTGCTTGAGCCCAGGAGTCAGGGCCTGTCTGGCAAGATAGCAAGACCCCATTTTCTAACATACATACATTCATACATACTTATATACATAAAATAAATAAATTAAGTAAGTAAATAAGAGGAAGAAAGAAAAAAAGAGCAAAGACCTGCAGCATAACCCAGCAGCATTTTTGAGTAGGTGAAGATCACGAGAGGCAAGATACAAAGAGTTGGCTCAAAGTAGGTCACGTGTAGTGAATGAATGCATGGAGGAAATAAACAACTCAGCACATTCAGACCAAGCTAGGATGTGAAATAAAACAGCTTACTCATGGGAAAAAATACATGCTTTGGCAGAAATATATTAAAACAGATAAGAGATAACATCAGGTAACCCAACACTCAAGCATTTTCTGTTGTCTGAGTCCATGCACTCAGTCATCTTACAGTTCTTAAAATACCATCTGGGATCCATTTTGAAAAGAGCACAAAAGCTACAAACTCACAAAAGGCTTTGGAAAGTCAAGGTAAAACTGCTAGTGAAGAAAGTATTTTCCAAAGAAAAATCTCAGAAACACCAGTCTCTACAACCCACAAATCCTGAAGGGCGAAGGCATGTATCACCATCATCTCCAGTGTGTTTAATTAACATACCCTCAAAGGAGGGGGCTATCTTTTAGCTGCAGCAAAATGCATGCAATTTAAGAAAGCAAACATTTGCTTCAAAGTGTTTCTAAGAATAAGGCACAGCAGAATATAATAATAGTGAATTTATAAGCAGCATTACGAAGCAGGGTAGCACTGTAGTTAAAAGCAGTGTCTGTACCTACAGAATGGCAGAAAATCTTTGCAAGCTGTTCATCCAACAAGGGATTAATATCCAGAATATATATATGGAACTCACAGCCAGACGTGGTGCCATACACCTGTAATCCCAGCACTCATGAGGGTGAGGGAGGAGGATCATGAGTTTGAAGTCAATACATAGTGAGCCCCTGTCTCCAGAAAAAGAGAAGCCAGCCAGAATATATATGGAACTCAAACAATTCAATAACAAAAAAATAAAAAGAAAGAAAAGATATACAAGCTGGGAGTGGGGGCACAAGCCTGTAATTCCAGCACGAAGGAGGCAGAGGTGAAAGGATGTCAAATTCAAGGCCAGCCTAGGCTACACAGAGAATTCCTATCTCAAAAACACAAAAAGGAGATTTTAAAAAGGCCAAGTACATGAAAAAAATTTCAGCATCATTAATCACGAGGGAAATCAAAATCAAAATCACAATAAAGCTGAGTGCCAGTGGGTCATGCCCAGCTACTTGGGTAGCTGAGCTCAGGAGGATAACAGTTCCAGGCCAATCCAGGAGAAACCCCATTTCAACCAATAGCTGGGCGCAGTGGTGTGGACCTGTCATCCCAGTTATGCAGGAGGCTGGCAGTGGATCCCAGGACAAAAAGGTTCATGAGAGTCCAACTCAACAGAAAAAAATGGTGGACACGGTAGTGCATGCCTGTTACTCCAGCTGTGGCAGGGAGCTCAAGACAGAAGGATGGTCATTTAGGCTGGCCTGAGCAAAAACTGAGGCCCTATCCCCAAAATAATGTTTCAAATATAAGAATACAGGGTTGGGTACTGGTGGTGCACACCTGTAATCCTAGCTACTCAGGAAGCAGAGATCAGAAGGTTTGAGATCCGAAGCCAACCCAGGCAAAGAGTTTGAGAGACCCTATGTGGAAAATACCCAAAACAAAAAAGGGCTGGCAGAATTGCTCAAGTGGTAGAGCACCTGTCTAGCAAGCATGAGGTTTTGAGTTCAAGCCCCAGTACCACCAAAAAAAAAAGACAAGAAATACTGGTGAGGTCGGGTGACAGTGCCTCATGCCTATAATTCTATCTACTTGGGAGGCTGAGATCAGAAGATTTCGGGTTGAGACCAGTCCAGGCAAATACTTCCTGAGACCCTATCTCCAAAATAACCAGAGCAAAATGGGCTGGAAGTGTGGCTCAAACAGCAGAGCACCTGTTTTGCAAGAGCAAAGCCCTAAGTTCAAACCCCAGTCACATACAAAAAAAAAAAACCAACATACTGGTAAGGATGCAAAGAAAGGGACCTCCCACACAGTTAGTGGGAATGTAAATTGGAATAGTCATTATGGAAAATCCTCAAAAAATGAGAAAGACAACTACCACATGATCCAGAAATCCCATTACTGGATATATACCTAAAGGAAAAGAAATCAGTATGTCAAAGAAATATCTGGTCAGGGCTGGGATGTAGCTCAGAGACAGAGTGCTTGCCTAACATGTGTGAGGCCCTGGGTTCAATACCAGTACCATAAAAGAAATGACAAAAAAAAAAAAAAAAAAAGACCAGAAACATCTAGTCAGGCACCAGTAGCTCATGCCTGTAATCCTAGTTACTCAGGAGGCAGAGATCAGAAGAACTGAAGTTTGAGGCCAACCCGGGCAAATACCCAACACAAAAAACAAACAAAAAAGGGCTGGCAGAGTGGCTCCAGTGGAGTGGTAGAGCTTAGCAAGCATGAGTACCACAAAAAAAAAAAAAAGACATCTGTACCTGTACTCCTACTTCTATATCTGCTTATTATGGCACTACTCACAATAGCTGAGATACAGACTCAACCTAGGTATCCATGAACGGATGAATGGATCAAGAAAATGTGGTATGGCTGGGCACCGATGGCTCATGCCTATAATCCTTGCTACTAAGGAGACAAGTATCAGGGATTGTGGTTCGAGGCCATCCCAGGGAAATAATTCATGAAACTCTATTTCAAAAATACCCAACACAGATGCTGGTGGAGTAGCTCAAGTGGTACGAGAGCATGACTAGCAAGTGTGATACCCTGAATTCAAACCCCTGTGCCACTAAGGAAAGAAACAAAAATACCCAACACAAAACAGGGCCAGCAGAGTGGCTCAAGCAGTAGAGCACCTGCCTAGCAAGCATGAGACCCTGAGTTCAAATCCCAGAACCACCAAAATTTATATACTATATGTATGTATGCTTGCAAATAAAAAAAAGTATTTCTGGAACTAGATTTCCTGGGTCTAAAGCCTGGCTTTGTCGCTTACCAGCTGTGCGATTTTGGAAAAGTGATTTAATCTGTCTTAGTTTCCTCATCTATAAAATGGGGATTCCACTCAACTGATATTTTAAAAGCGCTTTGAAAAATTGCAAGCATACACAAAAGCAGAGCAAATATACTTATCGGTCACCTTAGAGGACTAACAGCTTTATGCCAGTTTTGCCCTTACCTCTACTTTGTTTATGGCCCAGATTTACCATTTTATCCATAAATGTTTCAGTATTACTTCTAAAAAACCAGCAAGGACTTCTTTGAAAAATATACTTACATTATTTTTACAGTAATCAGCAATGCTAACAATTAACCAAATTAACAGTAATTCTTTTTTTGGGGGTGTTTTTTCTGTGCACACCTGTCATTCCAGCTATGCCGAAGGCTTAAATAGGAGGATTGCAGTCTAGGCTGGCCCAGGCATAAATCAAAACCCTGTCTCAAAAATAACTATAGAAGCTGGGCCCCAGAAGCTCACACCTATACTTAGCTACTCAGGAGACAGCTATCAGGAAGATCACGGGTTCGAAGCCAGCCTGGACAAACAGAGACCCTATCTCAAAAAACCCTTCACCAAAAATAGGACCGGTGGAGTGGCTCAAGGTGAGTTCAAATACAGAAAAAGGGCTGGGGGCATGGCACAAGTATTAAAGTGCCTGCCTAGTAAGTGCAGGCCCTAAATTCAACCCATAGTACTGCCAAAAACAGATCCACTTTTCAAATGAAAAAAATTTTTGCAGTACTAGGGATTAAGAATTTCTCTCTCCCTAGTTTTGGCCAAAACTATAAACAAACTCATTTCTTCTTCATTTCTCTATATTTCAGGTCACTTTTTTTAACTGATGTTTTTGGCAGTATGGGGTTTGAACTCAGGGCCTCATGCTTATTTAGGCTGGCATTTTCTCTCAATGGAGGAAAGCCTTGGAACCCAAAGTCAGGCCTTATGGCCAAGGGCTCTGGTAACACTAGGTCTGATGGCAACAACAGATTTGGTGTTGCAAGAGGTACAAACAACTTTGCTAACTAAAGTCCACACAAACTCCAATAGAGCAATTCTGTGTCAATACAACACATGCAAAGATGATTACTGTATGAAATAGCAAGAAGAAATTTAGAAGCTCCTAAGAATAGAGTCCATAAAGATCATTTGAGAATTGTAGCTGGGTTATTAAGAAAACTGCAAAGTCATCAACAGTTAGCATTTATAGAATGCTCTCTGAATAAATGGTGCCATAGCAAGCACTTTGAAAAAAAGAGACTTCATCTATAAAGTCATTGGGGTCCTGGCAATGTGGCTCAGTGGTAGAGCACCTACCTCGCACATGCAAGGTCCTGTGTTCCATTCCCAGCATCAGAAAAATAATTAAAAATTCAAGAAGAGTTCATTGCTGGGCACCAGTGGCTCACGCCTGTAATCCTAACCACTCAGGACGCAGAGATCAGGAGGATCAAATAGTTTGAGAGACCCTATCTCGAAAAAAAACATCAAAAAAATGGCTGGCACAGTGGCCCTGAGTTCGAAAAAAAAAAAAAGAAGAGTTGTGTATTCCAATGTAAATGAGAACCAGACCAACCTATTTTAAACGGAGACAACTGAACCAGATCAAAGGAAATAATATTATTCTGGAATGATGTTACCAGAGATGGAGAACCAGGTGCTTGGGGAGAGCTTGAGCCCTTGCCACTTACAGTCTCATCTCAGAGGGATGTGAGTCATCGTCCTCTCCCATTATAATGATGCCTTTTAGCTTGACATTGCCAGTAAATCTGCCAGAATGCAAAAGAGAAGGTTGTCAACCTGGGGCTGAATCCCTGCTTCACTGTGTAACCCTGCGCAAGACCCTGCCCCTTTCTGAGCTTGGTTTACTCATCCATCACACTTGTACTAATCATTCCTAAACTGGTCTACTCTGGTAGTCTGCAATTCTAAGAAATTTACTTCAACCCCTCAGTTATTGTTAAACAAATCATCTATTTCCAGTCTGCACCCGCAAAAGCTGTAACGCTTTCCTCCTCCAACCCACCAAAATAATTTACCCCATGTCTAGAAACAGATGTGGGCTCTAGAGACAACCCAATGAATGAAGCCATCTTAAGAGGAGACTGTGTACAGCCTTAACCTCAGGCGGGGACCAAGGAGATACTTACGGAATATTAAACAGAAGCTCTTCATCTGCATCACTTTCAACAAACTGGAAGGGACAGGGAGGAGGGAGGAGAAAGCAACAAATATTTGCTGAGAGCCTACAGTTTCAGACATCTCCCATCCTGTTCTACAAACTGGCGTGCAATGCAAACGGTCAAACTTCCTCGTTTTCCAGGTCTTACTAACTTGGAGCTAATGAGTCTCATCCAGTGTCCTAAGAGCCACAAACCATCCATGACTACAGGGTTCCTACTGGGGAGCCTCCTGGATTGCGAATAGGAAGGTCGGTCGTCGGTGCATTCTCCTAGGGAGAGGATCCATAGCTTTCAAATGGCTCTCAAGGGGCCTGTGCTACAGATGGGAAACACCCATCACCTCACTAGGCTAGACTCCTCCAGGTGATATGATCAGGCAGCCATTAGGACCAATGATCAAATGGACGGGAAAACGCCTTCATGACCTTCTTCCTCACTTACTCTCGCAGCCCTAGCTGTGTAGAGCCAGAGCGCCGGTCTGGGCCTCAGTTTCCTTATCTGTTAACGGGAGACTCAACCCTTTTCGCCTTCCAAAGGTCTGGAAGGAGACCGGCACAGGACAGCGCTTGGCGACCTCACTGTCGTTATTTTTAACCTCAGGACTAAGGCTGGCGAGGCCGACTGGCACTGGAGGCCCGCGGGTCCCGCCCAGCCCGCCTGGCCCGGGCGGCCCACCTTGGAGCGGTCGGTCCGCTCCTCCCACGGCTTGAAGACGCCGCGGCCGCTGCCCTCGCGGCTCTCGTTGAGGCACTGCAGGCGCTCCAGGTCGATGCGCAGGTACAGGCCATAGGCCAGGCCGCGCTGCTCGGGAGGCTCCTCTCGCTCGGCGGCACAGCGACAGCCGCCTCCGCCGTGGCTGTGGCCGTGCGACATGGCGACACCGTCTCCCGCGCGTCCCTCTGTCCCGCTACGGCCGTCTGCGCGGGGCTCGCTTTGCTCCGGCCGCCAAGCGCCGCGTCCGCCGCGTCGTAAAAGGCGCCCCTCCGCGGCGCATGCGCAGGAGAGGAGTGGGGGCGGGGCCTGGAGGGGGATTGACGTTTGATAGGACCCGATCGAGTTTGACTCTTTCTGTCCCGGAGATGAACTCAGGAACTCTTTGAGACTCTCGGACGTGGAAACAGAAGTCTGAGAGACTCAGCAGACGCAGGGCGGGGGATCCTCCTCCGTCGAGGCCAGAGTCCCGCGCTACCTTCTTCCGAGCCGGTGGAGGGAAGCTGCTGGTGGAGTGATTAAGCCCTGCAGAGCCAAGAGCGCGCTGTCACTGCTCGCACTTGCGCGCGCGGGCGCCGCTTCTCTAACCACTGTGCTGGGCACTGCCAGACCTGGAGATAAGTGTTGCTTCTGCTACTGACACCCTGAAGAAGTCATTCGCCCCGTGCTGAGTCTGTTTCCTTCTCTAAAGTGGAAGAAGAGTATCTGTTTCAGATGATCGCAAAGAGTAATAAATGAAATATGCGATCCAGGAACTGAGCGCGGAGCCTGGTGGTGCACGACAGCTGAGGCTGAGGCAGGAGGATCGCGAATTTAGAGGACAGCCTGGGCTACACAGCAAGACTCTAAGTCAAAAAACAAACAAACAAAAAAGACCCACTCAGCTCAATGGCTGACACAAGGTAGGCATTCAGTAAGCTTTTGGTTATTGCTCTCAAACCAAGCACTGCCACTTACTAGCTGGGTGTCTTGGGAAAATTTATCCCCTGTAAAATCACAGAGTAATATTTCAGAACAGTTCTTTCAAACGGCTGGTTGTGGCCCAGTAAGAGGGCTTAAAATCCGTTTAGAGGATTGTGACCAACATTTAAAAGAATAAAATACAATTAAGAAATCAGAGGGTGCTGGGCACCGGTGGCTCAAGCCTGTAATCCTAGCTACTCAGGAGGCAGAGATCACGAGAATCGAGGTTCAACGCCAGCCCGGGCAAATAATTCACAAGACCCTATCTCAAAAAACCCATGACAAAAAAGGCCTGGTGGAGTGGCTCAAGGTGAAGGTCCTGAGTCTAAACCCCAGCACCGCAAAAATAAAAAAAGAAAATAAATCAGAATGTATCGCACATTTAAGCCTCAATCAATGGAACTTTATTTCCGTTTTGGGTTTGTGTACATACATGCAATGTAGAGTGTTTTTCATATTGTGGATTGAGGTCAAAAGAATTGAAAGTCACTCTTTAGAATTGAAATCATTTTTTTTTCAAGGTAGCAAACAAGATCTTACTCCCTGATGAGGAGGGGAAAAGACAGAGGGTGCAGAGCAAGTTATGGAATTCTCTGGAGACTCCCTGTCCTTTACAGCTGGCTCAAGAGTGCCCAGGTAATGGGGTGACTCAAGTGTTAGAGCAAGCACTTGCTTAGAAAGTGTGAGGCTCTAAGTCCAAACCCCAGCACTGCCAAAAAAAGAGTGCCCAGGCAAGACTGGTGAAGTCCAACCCAATATCCATCTGTCCCAGTTCCACTCAGAAATAGCTTTCTGTCCTCCAATGATTTGGGAATTAGGCAAATCGAGTTCTGCTTTAGCTTTCCCATCACAATCTCAGGCAAGGGTCTGGCCTTTGGTAAACAGTTAATGTTTGCTTAACTGATGGATGCTGTGTGTAGCCTTTCTTTGGAAAGTCTTAAGTCCCATTGGAGGACCGACACAGGCCTCAGGTAGGACATGTACACACTTAGACTTCTTTCCTGCCATCTCCATCATTGTCATCCTTTTTCTTCCCTGTTTTTTTTTAAATTTATTTATCATACATTAATAATATGGGGGAGGGGTTCACTGTGATAATTCCATACAATGGGTACAGTGTACCTTGAACAAGTTCACCCCCTCTTTTGTAGTCCCAATTGTCATCCTTTAATGACTCATGGAACTCTATGTGCCAGGCATTGTGCTTAGGACTATTATTATTTCAATTATGCGTCACATTGTTACCACAGAACAGGTGACACACAGGAGGAGCTCTCAAAAAGGGAGGAGGCCACCACCTGGCGCCCTTGGGTACCAAGTTCATGATGTTGTTACAAAAAAGAAAGCAAAGGATAGAAATATAGTGCACAGCCCAGACCTGGGTGTGGCACATCTGATAACAGGTGCAATGAATGCTCTAACAGCATTCATATTTATGGTGAAAAAATGGATTGGTGTTTGGCTTAAGTTTACCTTAGGAAAAGTACTCCTTTTTGTATGACACCTGATACATTTATTCATTTTTACTGCTACACTGTCTTATCAATTGAATTCCAGACACTTCAAAGGATGCTTTTTTTTTTTTGGCAGTATTAGGATTTGAATTTAGGACCTCATACTTGCTAGACAGGCACTCTACAACTTGAGCCATTCCACCAGCCCTGTTTTGTGTTGGGTATTTTTTTGTGGGGAGAGGTGCTAGGGTTTGAACTCAGGGTCCACATCTTGAGTCACTCCACTAGTCCTTTTTTGTCATGGTTTTTTTCAAGGTAGGGTCTCACAAACTATTTGCCTGGTTGGCTTCGAACCTCGAATCTCCTGATCTCTGCCTCCTAAGTAGTCAGGATCACAGTCATGAGCCACCGGTGCTCAGCTCAAGCATGCTCCCTTTAAGATAGGTATCACCTTGGGTTGGTGGAGGGGCTCAAGTGATAGAGAATGTCTGCCTAGCAAGTGTGGACCCTGAGTTCAAACTCCAGTACCAAAAAAAAAAAAAAAAGGTAGGTGCCATCTTTGTACCCAGAGAAGCCATTTCCCAGGTTTTCTTTCCCAGGATGGTCAACTGCCTGCTTAGCAACCATGAGGCCGTAAGTTAAACCCCAGTACACCAAAAAAAAAAAAAAAAAAGCTGACAAGTCAGGTTCCCAGAAGCATAACACTTTTTTGTTTTGTTTTGAGACAAGAGTCTTGCTCAAAGACCCTTGAATTCTTGGCCTTACGTGGCTTTGAACTCCTGCTCCTACTACCTTAGCCCCCTGAGTGCTGGGATTACAGGTTTGGGCCACCATACGCTGCCTAGCACACTTTTTTTTTTCCTCAGTACCAGGATTTGAACTCAGGGCCTACACCTTGAGCCACAGCACCAGCCCTTTTATTGTGATGTTTTTTCGAGATAGGATCTCACAAACTATTTGCACTGGCTGGCTTCGAACCTCAATCCTCCTGATCTCTGCCTCCTGAGTAGCTAGGATTACAGGCATGAACCACTGGCCTGAATGCACTTTTTAACCCTCTGCTTCTGTATTTTTTCTGTAATGTTCCATCAGTCAAAACAAGTTTCATACTAAATCCAAATTCAAAAGTGGTAAAATAATTATAAAAAATTTAAAATAAAAGGAATCAAATTTAAAGGTGGAGAGACAGACTTCACCTCTCAGAGGAAGTACAAAATACTGACTTTTTCACCTCCTTTCCATTATATCGGTGTCCCTTTTTTTATGTTGTGTAATAGATTACTCCCAAACTTAATGACTCCAAACAATTAACGTTTATTATCACACAGTTCCTGTGAGTCAGGAATTTGGAGCAGCTTAGTTGGGTGGTTCTGGCTTGGGGTGTCTCTCATGGCCTAAAATCATCTGAAGGCTTGACTAAGACTGGAGGATCTATCCAAAATGGTGCACTCACAGGGCTGCAAGTTTGTGTAGACTGTTGGCAGGAGGCTTGGGTTCCTTGCCATGTGGACCTCACCTTAGGACTCTTTGAGTAATCCAACGCAAGGCAAGGTAGAAACCACAATTTTTTTTTTTTGGTGGGACTGGGATTTGAACTCAGGGCTTCACACTTGCAAAGCAGGCATTCTACTGTTTGAGCCACTCTTCCATACCTCCAGTCCACTTTTGCTGTGCTTATTTTGGAGATGGGGTCTTGAGAACTATTTGTCTGGAGTGGCCTTGAACCATCATCCTCCCAATCTCAGCCTCCCAAGTAGCTCAGATTACAGACATGAACCATTGGCACCCAACTACAATGTTGTTTGTGACCTGTCCTTAAAAGTCATGTACTGTCAGTTCTGCAGTATCCCATGGTTCTACAAGTCAGCCATATTCATTCAGTGTGTGACAGAACTGCCTAAGGATGCAAATACCAGGAGGTAAAAACCATTAGAGGACCTCTTGGAGGCTCACTGCACACAACCGTACAGGTTAACTGGCACTGAAAATGTCTTTATGCCACTCTTACATCAAATTGGTAATTTGGTTGTGAGTGAGTTCATGCATAATTTTGAAGCTACTACTCTGTTTTCTTCTATTGTTAGGAAATACAATGATGTTCTGATTCCTGATTCTTTTTTTTTTTTTCTTTCAGTGAGACTGGGGTTTGAACTTAGGGCTTTGCACTTGCAAAGCAGGCATTCTACTGCTTCTTGTGAACCATTTGAATCGAGATTCTGCTGTTCTCAGCCTCCGCAGTAGCTAGGATTACAGGCATGAGCCACCAGGGCCCAGCTGTGATTCTTTATACGGGTTCCTCCCTCCCTTTTCTGGAAGATTTTAAGATCTTCTCCTTGGTTCCTGGTATTCTAATGTGTGATGATGGGGGCTCTTTGGTCATCCATTGGGCCAGATACTTGATGGAACCTTTCAACGTGGGAGCCTGAGGATGACAGCGTGCAGGTTAGCACTGCTGTGTTCATGTGCACAGGCACCTTGCCAAACAAACAGGCCTAGGGATATGAAGAGGAGGGTTGGGCTGGGCTCCTGCTGTCCCCCTTCTATCACCTTGCAGTGCAGAGCTCTGAGACTCCAGAAACTGAAATGTCACCTTCCCAGTCAACATGAAGGTTTATTTATCAAGGTAGAGGAATAGACTGTTACATTAACAGTTCATTTGCTTCACTTTCAACTTGCCAAGAATCTCCTTCCACCTGTCCGCTCGTCCCAGTCCACACGTTAGGTATGTCCTGCTAGGCACATGGCTGAGCTGCTCTAGGCCTCAGACTTGTCTTCTATAGAACAGGAATAATCAGAGTACCAGCTTTGTAGAGTTTCATTTTGGCAATAATAGGAGATAA